CGATTACAAATTTAGATGCAGTCTTATCAAAATGTAAGCATGTCAAAATCGATATTGAAAAAAAATACTATAACATGATTAAGTGTGGCTGATTTTAAGATGCAAAGTTGATATAACTTTCAAAAAAATAAGCTGGAGTGATGGTTCAGCAGTTAAGAACACTGGCTTTTCTTCCAGAGAGCACTGGCTTCAGTTCCCAGGACCCATATGGTTGCTCACAACTGTCTGTAACTCTAGCTGCATCTAACTACCTCTTCTGACTTCTGACTTCTGTGGGCACCAGGCACTTATGTGTTCAGACATACCATGCAGACAAAAACACCCATACACATAATTTTTTAAAATTCTATAAAAAAGCATAACAGTAATAATGTATAAACTAAGGAAAAATAGGGATCATCTCAGATATAGAAAATCATGAAATTCTAAACTCATGATATTTAATGTAGAAACAAACGATAAAAAACTTTAATGCTAGGGATATAGCTCAGTTGGAAGAGTGCTTGCCTGGCATGCAGAAAGCCCTGGGTTCAGTTCCTAACACAACATAAAGCCCAATGTAGTGATGCATGCTTTTAATCCCAGCACATTGGAAATGGAGGCAGAAAGATCAGAAGTTCAAGGTCATCCTCATAGTGAATTCAAGGCAATTTCAATTGGGGGTTGGGTTGGGTTGGGTTTGGTTTGGTTTTCTGAGACAGGGTTTATTCTGTTTGTAGCCCTGGATGTCCTGGAACTCAATCTGTAGACCCAGGCTGGCCTTGAAATCCCAGAGATCCTCCTGTTTCTTCATCCTGAGTGCTGGAATTAAAGGCATATGTCATCACCACAACCTCGAGGCCAACTTGGAATATATGAGACCTTATCTCAAAAATAACTCAGCAAAAATGTTTTGTGAGGGAAAGTATTGGGGAATAAACCCCGGGCCTTGTACATGGTACTGAGTATAATTTCAACATCAACAACATAGTTGAATGTTTTAAAATGGGATCTTTCATGTTAAAAGAAAGCAAAGGCTATATGTGGTAGCACAGACCTGCAATCCTAGCACTTGGAAGACTAAGGCAGGAGGGATCAAAGTTCACTACCAGTCTGGGTTTTAGATAAGAAGACTATGTCTTGGACATAAAGAGAATGAGAGGAAAAAGGAGAAGAGGAAGGCAGGCCAGGCTTGGTAGTATACATCTTTAATCCCAGCACTCAGGGAGCAGAGGGAAGTGGATCCCTCTTAGTTCAAGGCCAGCCTGATCTACATAGCAAGTTCCAAGTCAGCCAGGGCTATATAGTGAGACCCTCTTTCAAAAAGAGAATGGATGTTTTACCAAAATGAATGAATACATCTCCAAAAGAAAAGGCACGTGGATCTCAAAGAAATGAAGCTTTTTTTTTTTTTATTCTCAGGTGTCATTATTTAGAGGACCAAAAAAAAAAAAAAAAAAAAAGGAACTACTACGCCAATTAAGCAAAGCCACTGAAGACAGGGCCAATATATTAAAGTCAATTGTTTGTGGGCTTTTGATTTTCAGGCTATCATACAATGAGTTTCATCGAAGTACTTCATAAAAAGGTACAGTAGTTTGTTCTCACTTGGTTCCCTCCCAATGTCCCCTCCACTCCACCAACTTTCTTCCCTAAAGAGCTAGTCCTGTGACATGTTTATTTAACATACCCAAGCCTCTGGGGTTGCCTAGGTTTGTTCTCTACCACTGACAGGGCAGGAGGAGGGGGAATAAAGGTTATTTGTATGTACTAAAAACAATGAGATTAAATTTTAAAATATGTAACATTTTTCATGGCATCCAAAAACATGAAATATATGAGTAATTTTAGATCTATGCTAAAAGCTATAGAATAATACCAAGGAAAATCAGACTGTAATGTGTTTGTAACTGGCTGACTCTAAAAACACTGATCTTGATTATCTTCATAGCAGGTTTTTTGGTGGTTTGGTGTTATTAATAGAGACAGAATACAGGGCTTCACACATGCTAAACAAGCACTTGACTGTGGAATTACATCTCTAGCCCCTGACATTAATCTCCATGTTTAATAAAATCTGATTTTTTTTTCAAATAAGTACTACAAACTTTTACTGGTGTGTAGTCATTGTACTTAGTAAAAGGTTACATAAAGCCTTTTTTTTTTTTTTTTTTTTTTTTTTTTTTTAGTTAGGTTCTCATTATGTAGCTCTGGCTGTCCTGGACTTTCATTATGTAAAGCAGGCAGGCCTCCAACTCACAGAGATCTGCCTGCCTCTGCCCCCCGAGTGTTATGATGAAAGATGTCCTTCACTTTGTCCAGCTGCAGAAAGACATTGTCAAATACATACTTTGTCCAATAGAAATTTGAAAAGGACCCAGGCGGTAGTGGTGCACACCTTTAATCCCAGCACTTAGGGGGCAGGCAGACGCAGGTAGATCTCTGAGTTGGAGGCCATCCTGGACTGCAGAGTGAATTCCAGGACAGCTAAGGCTACACAGAGAAACCCTGTCTGTGATGAGAGGGGGAAATCAAAAGGTCTTTTGTAGAAACTAGTGTATTGATTTAAAAATTTTGTTTCTAATTTTTTTAGATTTATTTTATGTGTGTGCGTGTTTTGCCTGTACATACGTATATGCATGACATAATTGCCTTGAAGATCAGAAGAGGCCATAACATGCCCTGGATCTGGAGGTGCAAATAGTTCTGAGCTACTCTGTTGGTGTTGGGAACTGAACCCCTCTGCAAGATCAACGAGTGCTCTTGACCACTGACTGAGTCATCTCCCCAGCCCCTAAAAATCTTTTCAGGATGGCACCAGGGTCTTTCACAAAGTAGCCAAGTGCTCTTCCACTAAACTACACCGTCAACCTTAAAATATTTTTTTTATAATAAAAAGACCAGCCGGGGCACTCATGCTACCCGATCTCAAGATCTGCTGTGAAGCCAGCGTGGCTGTAGCTCGAAGGTGAGCATACAGACCAGTGAGAAAGAAAGTGGTCCAGAAAGACTGATCACTTGACAACAAACCCAGGTCAGTGTACAGGAAAGGAGAGTGTTCTCCAGAGTTGGTGTTAGAGGCTGTGCACTTGGGGGAAAGCAGGAGGAGCATGGTCAGCAGTGAGCCTTTCCTACTACGTAAATAAAACTGAACTCAATAATGTAGTATCACATGCCTGCAGTCCCAGATACTCAGGAAGTAAAGACAAGTGATCGAAGTTCAAGGCCAGTCTTTGCAACATGAGACACTGCTTTGGAGTTCATGACCCCTGGGGAAAGGCCATAGACTCGATCCGGATTATAATGAGTTAAATTTATTGAAGCTGCTAGCAGGATGACCAACCTCTGATCCAGATGAGTTTGCTGTGTGAAGGGGACAAAAGGATTTTTAAAGGCAAAAGCCACAAGAAGACCTTAAATATCTGCGTAAGCAAGCCTAAGCGAGCCAGGAGCTGTCCTGTCTGCCAAGATTAGGTAGTCAAGGTGGCCTCAAAATAGTCCTTGAATGTTTGCATAAGCAGGTTACAAAAGCCAAAAAGCAGTCATATCACAACAAGTAGATGACACGGCTATACCTTTTTGTGTAAGGATGACTAAGTCCAAGTTACTGGGGACTTATTTCTCGAGGATTAGAATCAGAGACAAATGGCTAGTGGGTACCAGGATGGATGCCTAGCATAAACGGGAATTTCTTTAGCCATCACAACACCATGTACGTTAACTCAAAACGTATCATACACCTAAGAATCAAAGCTAAAATTAGAGTCAGGTGTGGTGGTGCCCACCCATAATTCTAACACTTGGGAGGGAAAGGCAAAAGAATCTTGAGTTCAAGAACAGCCTTGCTACATACCAAGACCTTATCTGAGGAAGGAAGGAAACAAGACATAATTTGAAGTGAAAAAGATCTTTAAAATACATATATTTGACAAAAAAATAATCCAGGATATATAAAGAACATCTATAACTCAATAAAAATAATCTCACATAACTCAATTCTAATAACTGAACAGGCATTTTGAAAACACCAGTTTGCACATAACCAATAATCACCTTAACATTCAACATCCCTAATCATCAAGGAAATGCAAATTAAAAATGAAATACCACATACAGGCTGAAGATACAGCTCAGTGGTAGAACATTTCCTTTGAGGGAAAGAAAAACAAAATGAAATAGATCCTCTAGAATGGCTAACTGTAGGAACACTAGCAATGCCGAGTATTGGCAAAGATGCGGAGCAGTTGCCATTTTCATACACTGTAGGTAGAAACATGACAGTAATCGTTGCTGATGCTTCCTGCCAGTAGGCAAAGCATCTCTAAGTCAAGTAGCGAAGGCACCCTGTCTCCGTAACCTCAGTGAATCCCCACTAGCTGTGAACAGTGGTTCTCACATAAGGCTTCTTTCTGGGCCAGGGGCAGCAGCTTCACCTGAAAACTTGTTGGAAATGCAAATTCTCTTGGGCTGACCTAGACCTGCTCAATAGGAAACATTGGAGGGGATGCTCAGCAATCAAGTCTTAAAGGAGTGCCAGGTGATTCCAGGGCAGGAGAGGAGGAAGAAAGAAGGGCTACTTTAAAGCTGATTGGACACCGGCCAGCCTCTCCTCCACCCCAGGCTTCTTAACAGCCTGGTGTGGAAAGCTGGCCCTTAGGGGAAGCCAGATAAGGACCTGCAGTTGGAGGCGAAACCCATGACTGGCAGCACAGTAAGCTTGAGCAAGGGAAGAGTGGGACACAGATGCAACTAGACACACATCCCCGTGTCTCCTCCTTCTCCACACTGGGGTTCTGGGAGGGACTTGGGCTAGATAAAATCATACTTCTTTCTGTTAACATTTTGAGTGTTTCTGTCTCAGGTCTGGGGATGCTCTGATCAGCTGGAGGTGGGAGCAGGGTGTTGGGAGAAGTTGGTCTCTAGTAGTTTTTAATGGCTGTTGGCAATAGAAAGCATTCCCAGGCCTCAAGCAAGCCTTTCTTACGGAAAGAAAAGAGCTACTCAGAAAACAGTGATAACAGCTGAGCAGAAAGCAGGGACCCAGGACTCTGTCTCACTATAGACACACTTCTGCCCCCGCAACACCTCCACACCTCCGCCAAGCCACCCAGCAAAGTGACATGAGTCGCCACAGCACCAGCAGTGGGACCGAAGCCACAGCAAAGAGCATGCTCTGGGGTAAGAGCAAGGGTAGGATGCGGTTGCTGCATCTCTAACACAGAGGAGCCCATGAGCTTCCCAGCCCCACACCGCCATCTTCTCTGTGCAGGCGGTGAGCTCAGTCAGGAAAAGCAGACTTGCACTTTTCGAGTCCAAGGCGAGCAGAAGGATGGCTGTAAACTGCTGCTCAGCACGGTGGGTGTCTCCTAAAGAGAGGAAGGAGGATGGAGCAGGACGGATCCTCCAGTCTCAACAGGTAACAGCTTTCTCCCATCACCCTTCTCAGATCTGCTTGGGGGAGAGAGCCAAAGAGGAGGTGAATCGTGTGGAAATAATTTCCTCAGCAAACCAGGAGGAGAGAAAACCACCAGTCACCATTGCCACTCTGAAGGCCTCCGTACTGCCCATGGTGAGTCTCTCCCTCCAGGCCCCGGGAGAAACTGTCACTGCCCTAGCTTCATCCTCGGATGGGCCCGCACATAAGTGTGCGTGCCTTCATGCCCCGGGTTTCTAGCCATGCTAGAAAGGCCATGGTGCCACACGCCTGTAATCCCAGCACTCAGGAGGCAGAGGCAGGCAGATTTCTGTGACTTCGAGGCCAGCGTGGTCTGTGAGTTCCAGGACAGCCAGGGCTACACAGAGAAACCCTGTCTCCAAAACAAAAGAAATACAATATGGCCCTGACCACAGAGGGAAGCCATCCCAATTCCTGCTTCCCAGAGCCTTGCAACCATCAGCAAGCCGAATATCCTCTTGAACGGGTGTCATGTTTAAGCTATTTACTACTAGTCGCTAAGACATTGTTGTTAGATTATATTTGGGTTATGAGTCTGGAAATTCTCTTCCTTCTACTAAATACCCAATACTGGCCACAATTAATCATTATTTGTGAATAATGGCAGGTTTGTAATTTAGAAGGTTTTTAAAATTATGTATGAGGGGGAGAGAGAAAGTGTGCAAGTTTAGGCATATACACCACGGTACATGTGGAGATCAGAGGCCAACTTTCAAGGAGTTGGAACTGTACTGTTGTGGGTCCTAGGACTTGAACTCAGGTTTCCAGGCCCTACACAGCAAGTGCTTTCACCTGCTGAACCATCTCACCTGCCCTTGTTTGCTTGAGACAGGGTCTCGTATTGTGTCACAGGATAGCCTCATTATCTTCCTGCCTCGCCCTCCCTCCCTGGTGCTGGGATAATAGGTGTATGCCACCACGCTGGGCGGTCTTCCTTTTTCTGTACTCTCACCGCGTTGCTACCTAGGCTAGGACCTTTGGTATAATACAAATACTCCCAGACTTAAAAATGGGCTTGTGGCTTGCAAATGTCGTAATTGGAAAATGCCTTTACTACACTTATCTCGCGGAGCACCCTGGTTTAGAACCACGACATGCTGTAAAGGTATCATGTTTGCCGTTAAAAAAAAAAGCAGGGCAGAGGAAGTGCCATGATGCTCATTACCATGGCTGGCCCTGATTTTTCTCATATATACCTATCACTGGCTCAGAAAAAGATCAAAGTTCAGACTTTAGGTATGTTTTCCACTAAATGGGTTTAACTTTTGCATCCTTGTAAAGTCAAAAACTCCCGAGTAACTGAGAGGTGTAATTAGGTAAGTGTGAATTGAACAGCTGACATCTTTTCCTCTACCTTTACTTAAAAGATGGCCCTCCATGAAGTGATTGACAGTTAGGCTTCACCAAATTAATGAAGCCCCCTTCTAACACTCCTGCACTTTAAGTTCTTATTTTCATTCCTGAATAGGGAGTTGAATTTTATCATTCTTCGTTTTTCTTTAGATTTTTACTTATTTCTATTTTACACGTGTGAGTGTTTTGCCTGCATTTGTCTGCACAGAACATTGGTGCCTGGTTCCCACAGAGGCCAGAAGAAGGGTGCTGGCACTCGAACACGGCTCCTCTAGAAGAATAGCCAGTGCTCTTAATGGCCAACCCTTCTCTCTGACCTCTCAAATGTTTTTTGACTCACCTGATCCCAGGTTCTTCCTCCATCATCCCATTAACAAACCATTATGTTGGTAGAATAACATTTGAGCCTTTTGGCTTCCATACTTGGTCATGTGAACTTTTTTTTTTTTTTTAAGATTTATTTATTTTATTATGTATGTTCTGCCTGCATGTACACCTAAGTGCCAGAAGAGGGCACCAGATTTCATTATAGATGGTTGTGAGCCATCATGTCATTGCTAGGAATTGAACTCGGGACCTCTGGAAGAGCAAGCAGTGCTCTTAACCTCTGAGCCATCTCTCCAGCCCTCATGTGAACTCTTGATTCACTTTAATACGTCAACATCTTTCTTAAGAATTCCTGGGGTGTGGGGGTGGTGGACAGACATGCATGCCACAGCATGGTAATCAGAAAACAGCTCTGTGGAGCAGTTTCTCTCCTCATGCCTTCTGTGAGTTCAGGGGTTAGACTCTGACCACCAGGCTTGCTCAGCAAATACCTTTCTGCACTGAACCATTCCTCGGCGGAGCCAATTTATTTCCTTTCGCTTGTTTCATGGTTTTTTTTGTTGGTTGGTTGGTTGGTTTTGTTTTGTTGTTGTTGTTGTTCTTTGAGACAGTCTATGTAGCCCAAACTGGCCTCAAATTGACAGTGGTCCTCGTGACTGTCCCTCCTTCCAGGTGTTGGGGTCCAGGTGTGTACCACACTGACTTCCTCTGTTTTTATTAGTGAGAAGCAGAAAAGTGATTTCTTCATTGTGGTCACATTGAGAAGAGGAGGGACATTTGTTTATGTGTTTGGAGTTTTTTGTTTTGTTTTGAGACAGTGTCTCACTCATGTCACCCAGACCAGCTAGAATTTACAATCCTCTTGCCTCTGCCTCTTGAATGCTAGGATTACAGCATTGTGTAATCAGCCTTTACCAGGGGCCAGGCTGAGTGACCTGTGTTTTCTACATTGCACTGATGTCCTTTTCCACTGCAGGTTACAATAACAGGATTGGAACTTTCTCCTCCAGTGACTTTTCGGCTCCGGGCTGGCTCAGGCCCTGTGTTCCTCAGTGGCCAGGAATGTTATGGTAAGTTGTATTGTAGGTACCTGAGTCCTTGAGAGAGTCTTGACTTTTGTACAGGTCCTCCAAAGGCAAATGATTACCAGCAGCCTGCACTAGAAGGCTGTGACAAAGGCAGTAGTCATGGCTTTTCTCTCACCTTTCCATGTCCTCTGTGGGCCTCAGGCCTCAGCTGTATCATGAGAATGAAATGACTTTTGTTTCAGCTTCAGAAAATATTGTAAGGTAAACAGGGTATTCCAGGGCCTATTATCTTAGCTCAAGCCAGCCTGGGCTACAAAGCAAGACCCTCCTTTCCAAAAGAGAAGCTCTTACTATAAACTAGTATTTGGAAGTATTTCAAAGATTGACTCCTACTAAGCCTGAAGCTATAAAGATAACATGGGCCATAGCAACTTGCCATGTTGTCACCTTTAAGAGCTACCTTACAGCCAGGAAGAGGTGATGCACACCTTTAATCCCATCACTCCCTTAGGAGGTACAGGTAGGTAGAGCTCTGAGTTCAACCCCAACCTAGTCTACAGAGTGAGTTCCAGGCCAGCCAGGACTATACAAAGAACTTGTCTCAAAAATAATAATAATAATAATAATAATAATCCACCTATTAGCCCTCACCTCTGAAAAGGTTCCACCATCTCAACATGGCACACTGGGGACCAAATTTCTAGTACATGAACCTTTGAGAGCCGGTCCATACTGTAGCCTCACCATCTCCATCCCTTCTCCTGCTCGCCCACCTTCAGTCTTGACCCAGCCAGTTCTCAACACACATCCTCCTCCTGCCTGCCCTCCTTCCCCTAGCCCCTCTCTTCACCTCTTTTCCTGCACCCTTACTTCACCCTGGCCTCCCTGCATTGGAGGGAGAAACGGGAATGGATATTTGGCCCATTGCAGAAGAGGAACCATCTCAGCCCAGTGCTTGCTTGGGGATAAACTCAGAGGCAAAAGGATCCTGGAGTGGGAGGGAGGCATTAAGCCAGTGAGTCAGATGCTCTCATTTTCTCCACTCCTGCCTACTTTCCATACCATTACAGAAACTTCAGACCTAGCCTGGGACGACAACGAGGAGGATGAAGAGGAGGATGAAGAAGAGGATGAAGAAGAAGATGAAGAAGAGGATGAAGAAGCAGATGTATCGCTAGAAGAGGTCCCTATCAAACAGGTCAAGAGGGCGGCTCCCCAGAAGCAGGCAAGCTTGGCTAAGGTGAGGGGGAAAGAAATGAGATCAGGCACCAGGACCTTGGTGGGCCTCCCAGGCTGGGCATTTGGGACAGTCCAAGGCCACCACTAAAGTTCTACAGGTCTCAGTTGGGACTGCTCAACACTCAAGAGTATGTCCTGGCTCTAGGTTAACTCCCCAAATAACATCTGATTTTGCTCCCAGAGAAAAAAGGTGGAAAAAGAAGAGGAGGAGACAGTGGTGAGGTAGGTAATTCATGCTGTTAAATCCTCCATCACAACCAGCACTAAGCATTGAACCCAAGGCTTCTGGCATGTTAAACAACAGGATACACTGAGCTACAGCCCCAGACTGTGTGTGTGTGTTTGGCCTGGTTTCATGGGTTTGTTTTGGTGGTGGTGATTGTTGTTTTGTTTGAGATAGGGCATCAGCAAGTTGCCCGGGCTGACTCTACACTCACTGTATAGCCCTGGCAGGCCATGAACTTGTGATCCTCCTGCTTCAACCTCCCTAGTAACTGGGATTACAGGCCTTCACACCAGGCCCAGATGACATAGTAAAAGTTCTTACTGTGAGATAGCTAGTCCTGGGAAGCAGGATGCGGGCAATGTGTTTACTTGCATGCACACATGCAACAGATTCAACAGCCCTCGTAGGCTAGAACAGCCCTCAGAAAGCATGAACAGTCTTTCTGATCTGACTTCACCTGATAATCATTCTACCCAAAAACAAAAGAGTTCAAGATCTACACTCAGAAACTCACAGTGCCCTTATTCAACCTTAGTCCTGGAAATAGCATTCTAAATGTCTGTCAACGTAAGAATTGATGAAACAATGACCCATCATTTTTTTTCCCTCTGTGGTGCAGGGTAAATGGAATATATGTAGGCTTTGGAAGCATGCTACCAACCTGGAAAGGGCTAAAATTAAGAGAACAGGTGTGAATTCGTGTTCATGTCATGTGTTAGAGAAACAGCTTGTCTAAAAGTCATGCTAACGAGTAACATTGGAAATTAATGAAAAACATAAGTTATTTATTATGTCTGTTTGCTAAATTATGTGCAATGAGGTTAGCATTACTTTTAAGGTGAAAAAAAAAAACATGTATTATAGCAACTCTTTTAGTTTAGTTTTAGTTTTTCAAGATAGGGTTTCTCTAGGTAACCCTGCCTGTCCTGGAATTTGTTCTGCAGACCAGCCTGACCTCTGCCTCCCAAGTGCTGGGATTAAAGGCATGTGCCACCACCACCCAGCTTGACCTTTTATTTTATTATCAACTCTTTTAAAAGTGTATTTAAAAAGGCATCTTTTTTCATCCAGGCCAACTGCAATAAAACACCAGTCTCTTGTTACAGAGGGCAATGAGTACCTGAAAGAAAACCACCAAGACTAGAGACGCTGAGCCTGAGAAAGCACTGGGCAAATCCTTGAGGTTCTCAGGCTGTGGAAGCCCTTCTCCTAACCAGGAACGCAAACTTAATCCATACAAACCTGGGGAGAATGTTAAGTCTCCTAAGCAGCCAGCACCATGGAGACGGCATGGTACATTTGAAGACCAGTGAACCTGAGGTCTGTCTAGACAAAATCCTGGAGCTGCTCAATGGGGTAAATGACAGATTGGAGGCAATGATGCAAAAATGTGAGAAAACTGAAAGGGAGGAGAAGACCCTTTCCCTCTCTGCCTATGTAGGCACAGAAGTCACAAAGCAAGAGTGGACCTGTCTGCAGGATTAAAGCCAGCAATGGCAGAGCAGCAAATCCACTCATCACCCACATATATGATGAACAACCCAGGCATATTTCAGAGTCACTGGGAGTTCTGAGGATAAATCTCTTTGAGTCCCCCAACCCTTAGAGATCAACACATAGGTCATGTCAACAAGCCTCTTAAGATCCTGTAGCCAAGTCTAACAGAACCATCCCTCAATCTGCCTCTTTACACAATTTAAAATTTAAGCCCAGGTATCGTAGCACATGCCTTTGATCCCAGCACTCAGGAGAAAGAGGCAGCTATGTCTGAGTTTAAGGCCAGTCTGGGTCTACAGAGCAAGTTCCAGAACAGCCAGGGCTATATAATAGACCCTGTCTCAAACAAAAACAGTAACAAAAATGTATGTAAGTATATATTGTCTGTTGAGCCTATCCCTCCATACCCCCCAAGCACCCCTCTTATGAAACCAGCCCCCCTCCTGCTGTAAGAAGATCAGTTTTTACACCTGAAAGAAAAGCAATGGAATTCTAAGAAGAAAACACACTCCTAAAAGAGGCAGAACAAAGAAGGAAGGGAGGCAAAGGTGAGGCTGAGCTCACCAGCAGAGGACTTGCCTAGCAGGACATTGAGTCTGCTCCCCAATACCACAAAAATGAAACTCAAAAGTGGGTTGGGAATCTAGCTCAGTGGTAGAGTGCTTCCCTCAAATGCATAAAGACTTAAGTTCAATCCCTATAGCTGCAAAAAGTAAATATATGCAAAAGGGAGAGGAGCAAAACAGCAGGAGGGGTGACCAGGGAGAGGGACAAGCCTGTAGCTTTCTCTCTCCGGACCAGGCCCCTGTCTAGATGAACCGTTCCAGCTCTGCTCCTGCATGCGGCTATTGGGAGGGCTCTGTCGTAGCATAAAGCTGCAGTCCTCTTGCCCACCCTGTTCCTGTTCCTTTCCAGGCCCAGCCCTCCGGACAAGAGCCCCTGGAGGAAGGTGAGCAATGAGAAGCTTGGGCTGGCCCTGCGGAAGGCTGCCAGGCCAGGGAGAGTGGGGCACCTTCAATCTGTTTTTACCTGCACAGGGGAGATCTACACCCAAAACTAGGAGGTCTGCATCCAAGAAATGAGGAACTCACCTTGGCATCCCCTGTGTCCAAGGGACAATGTCTACCAGCTGTGCTGGGTTGCCGGGTGTGGACTCAGGTGGACCTGAGTCTAAATGTAATAAGGTGTTGTGGGAGCCATACAGGAGCCCAACAACTCAGCCCTCACGTTTCAGGAGGCTCTTGGAGGAGAATGCCTGATAAGCCGGTGTGGGGCCACAATAAAATTTGCATGATCAAAACCTTCCTTTGCCTTTCTCCCCACCCCCGTGGGTCTCCTTGCTGCTGCGCTAACTCATGTGCCCAGCAGAGGGCAACTGGGAGCAAGAAACCAGCTCTGTGTTGCTCTTCCTAGGTTTCCATCCCAGGATGGAGGCAAGGCTTAGGTGGCCAGCCTCAGCCCTGTCCTTAGTGACCTGGGGCTGGGGTGGTTTGCAAGTGCAGAACCCTAGGACCCAGCCGACTTTTGCTACCAGGAAGGGCCTGACGCAGGCCCAAACTGTCCCATTTCCCTGCTCTTCTCGAGCAATTGTCAAAGTTATCTGGGACAGCTGGGGGACAGTTCAGGCTGCTACTACAATTATGAGATGAAGGCCCATATGGCACTTAACAGAACAGGCCTGTGACAGGGTGAGGCCAGGTGGCACCTGAAAAAGTGACCATTGCAGGGCTCTGGCTTCCTGGCCTCCTTAGCATGCTGAGCTAGCTTTGGAGCCTGTTCCCTGGGGGTAGAGTGGAGGTCAAGGCTTCATCCCTGATTTGAGAAGGACACAAAATAATTCCAGGGCAAGGGGCTGTGCTTGTGGAGGAACCTGTAACAAGCAGCTCCTGCCCCCAACCCCGGCATCCCTGTCGGCCAGGCTGGAAACAAACCGACAAAGAGCTGCCCCAAGACTCCTATGTATGAGTCCCAGGAGGTTGCAACCAAGCTTTGACTTTTGTTCAGTTCCTTGGCCCTTGGCCTATCCAGCCTGGTTCACTGGTATCAGTCACAGCTGTATAGAGAGAGCCAAGCCTGCTACCCACCTCCACTCCTATTCAAATCACCTGCAGCCTGGTGGTAACACAGCCAACATCCTGATTTCAGTTCCTGGAAAGTGTTTTGGAGGAAGGAAACCAGGGTGTTAAGAGATCTGAGCAGGCCTTCGGAACAGGCAGCTGTCGTGAAGAGGGAGGGGGAAAGCTAGCAAGACCATTCCTGTGAACGCAGCTGGTCTGAGGTAGGGAAGGACTCCAAAGTGTCCATCCAGAAGGAAGGCTTTCACGGCAGCATTAGCCACAAGCTCAGGCTGCCTTGCTGTCCCGAGACTTGGTCCTTTAATCATCACAACACCACCCTGGGGCGGGTGATGTTAGCTTAGTTTCTTAAACAAGAAAACCAAAGCACAGTTAACAGTCTGCACCTAAGTCATGGAACAGAAGGGGGAGTTAAGACAGTCTGGCCTCAGAACCTTTGCTTTGACCACTCTCTGATGGAGAAGTTCCTGCCAGTATGCAGGAAGCTGAGGGCAAGAGCTCCAGCACAGTTCTCTGTGTGAGGGAGGCCTATGGATGACCAGGTACAGACATAGCAGAGACTTCTTTCTTCCTGCAGCCCCAGGCAAGGCTTTACAAACAAGGCCGCTTAACAAATACACCAGATCTGAACATGTGGCCACCTAACAGGTACGTTAGTGACCATCTGACTGGATTTACAGACCTGCAGTAGGGTCAGATGTCAGTCCACGCTGCTAGGGGTGGTGCCCTTTGCCCTAATGCTCCTGTGTTTCTACAGGAAAAGGACAGGTAAGCTGAGATTGTGTTTGCAGTAGCTCAGCTGTTAGGACAGGTGTGAGACAGCCCCAAAGGGGGGGGGGGGGGTGTCAGACATGGCACTAAGAGGTGGGGATTAACCAGAATTTTGGTAACCACTTCTCACTCTGGTTATTAGCACCTCTCAAAGCCCCCCATAAATGTTAGTAAGCCCTTCCTTCTCCCCTCCCCAGCTCACGCCTTCAAGGGAGACAGTCTGCTAAAGTTTAGGTAAACTGAGTCTGAACCACATAGAGGGTCATCGTCCTCCTTTCCCCTCCGTGCAGTATGAGTACTTGTCTCAACTGACATTCATGATAGCCATTTCTTTTTTGTTTTGTCTTGCTTTTTCAGGTATGATGACATTCATTTTTTATTTATGTATATGAGTTCTCTATTTGCATGTATGTTTGCATGACAGAAGAAACTATCAGATCCCATTATAGATGGTTGTGAACCATGCGTGGTTGCTGGGAATTGAACTTAGGATCTCTGGAAGAATGTCCAGTGCTCTTAACCTCTGAGTCATCTCTCCAGCCCTGGTTTGGTTTGGTTTGGTTTGATTTGGTTTGGTTTTTCGAGACGGGTTTCTCTGCATAGTGTTGGCTGTCCTGGACTCACTTTGTATATCAGACAAGGCTGGCCTTAAACTCACAAAGATCTTCCTGCCTCTACCTCCCAGAGTGCTGGGATTATAGGCGTGGGCCACCACGCTAGGCCTTGTTTTTTTGTTTTTTGGTTTTTTTTTTTCTTCAAGACAGGGTTTCTATGTGTAGCCCTAGCTGTCCTGGAACTTGCTCTGTAGACCAGGCTGGCCTTGAACTCACAGATCCAACGGCCTTTGTCTCTCTTGTGCTGGGATTAAAGATGTGCACCACTACTACCTGGCTACATTCCCTCCCCCACCCCCAAAGGAAAACCTGGAGCCAGAAACTTTTCAAGTCACATAGCAAGGAAAGGAGAGAAGATCCGGAACCCAGTCCCCACCCCCCACTCTCCATGCTGTGTCCCACCTGTGGTCGGCTACCATCTCCCCCAGGACTGCAAGAGAGCAAACCTAAAAGCCAGACCTGAAAGTGCCAAAGAACAAGGGACAAGAAGCCAAGGCTACCTCACACACAAAGCTATTTTCTATATCCCCTGGTACCAGACCCTGGCTGAGCCTCAAGACCAAATTTCACTGCCAGCATCTGTTACCATGGAGACTTGGGCTGCACCAAGGACCAACCAGTGAGTGACAATGGGCGCTGTCCCCAGTGACTAGAACCAGGTGCTCAGGCTCAGAAGCCTTGACAGCAACCACTGCCTCCTGGTGAATGAGCCTCAAGAGCACAAGCTGTTGATGCCCCCTGGTATCCTCTGCTTCCAGAAGACACCATCTCCATTGCATTCCAAGCCTTTAGCTGTCTCCCGAGCCCTCCGACCTGTGAGCCCGCCTGACTCTTCAGGTTGAATTCAGGTGGAGTGGCCTTCAAACACTCAGTCTGGGAGAGGGAGGGATGTGGGAGTAGGAATGAGGTCAAATGAGTCCCCCAAAAGACAGACTGGGTTGAGCCTCAAATGGTGGATAGAATGTGAGGGAGGGGTGGAAATTCTGTGGGGTGGGAGGTAGAGGTATGCCGAGCAGGTAAGAAGGGAGTAGGCTCTGCTGGCCACTGGGTTCTTGGCCCCTTGGCCCAGCCACACAGTCACTTGCTGTTACCTTCTAGTTTTGACTTGGCTTGGTTTTTTTGTTATGTTTTTTTTTTTTTTTTGAAAGATTTATTTATTATATAGTGCTCTGTCTGCATGTGTGCCCACACACCAGAAGAGGGCACCAGATCTCATTACAGATGGTTATTAGCCACCATGTGGTTGCTGGGAATTGAACTCAGGACCTCTGGAAGAGCAGAGCTTTTAACCAATGAGCCATCTCTCCAGACACTCCCTGACTTTTTTTTTTTTTTTTTTTTTTTTTAAGATACAGTTTTGTATGTCAGACTGGCCACAGACTTTCTATGTAGCCAAGAATGACAATGACCTCTAACTGATCCCCTGGCTGCTTTCAGTCTCTGAAGTACTGGGATTACAGGCATGCAGCTACACCTGGCTTAAGCAGTGCTAGGGATGGAACCCGAAACTTCATGAATGCTAAGCCAGCCTTCTACCAACTGAGCTATACCCCCAGCCAGCCCCAGTTCTAACTTTCTTTAAATTTGATTCCAAAACCCTCCTGGTCTTTGACTCCCCCTAATAATTCCCACCTTCTCAAACTGCCCTCAGAAATTCATTCCCAGGCTCCCTGCCGTGGCATTTTCTGTCTGCAGAAGAGTGGGCGGAGCACTAAAGGCCCCTGCTAGAGCTGGGCAAAGCCCCTGGTTGAGGTACAGGGGGAGGTATCTGCTATCTTGCTGGGGGGAGGTGGCGGAGTGGCAGACCACTTAGTGGATTTTTGGTATCTTGGGAAGGTGAGAAGGAACCTGGAGGGGACCTTCCCTGTCAGATCTTTAAAAGGCAAATAAATCTACCTCCGTGCTGCTCTGTGAACTCAGAGACAGGGAGCTCATTCATAGACTCCCCAAATCATTCTTCCTTTCAGTCCCCCACCACCCACCCTTCTGTAAGGAGAGATCTGGTCACCAGCTTTCAGAACCTCAGCTGTGTGTCACGTTACAATCCAGTTCAGCCTGTCAAATGCGGTGGTGGACACCTTTCATACCAAAGTCTGGGAGACAGAGGCAGGTAGACTTGTGAATTTGATGCAAGATTGGTCTACGCAGTGAATTCCAGGTCAGTTGATGCTACATAATGAGACCCTGTCTTGGGAAGAGAGAGAGACAGATACACAGAGAAAGACAGAGAATCCAATAAGGTCTCTGAGCTCTAAAATAAAAATAAAGCCAGTGGCAGGCTGGGAACCTGGAGGGCAAAGTCACAATTCCAGGAAACAGAAAGTGCCTAAATTCTGGAAATGTGGCTCCTCCATTCACCAGCTGGCTTATTCTGAGCAAATTACCTCCCCAGATGTCTGTCTCCTATCAGCAAACTACAGCTAATATACCTGGCTTGGGTGCCCAAGCTACATGGGACTAAGGGTCCTCTGTCCACTCTGCTGGGCACGTCATCCCAGGCAACTGCTATGGGACACTGGTGGATGGGGCCTCCGAGGCTAGGGCTGGGTCTCAATCCCAAAATAAAGCCCAGACATCTTAGGGATTTCTACGCTGGTTCACTGTCGTCTCATTTTGGTCCTCCAATACTCCAGCGGCTGTCCAATTTTTTTTCACAGGAGACTACGAAGGCCCAAGCAAAAGTGGCTCCCACTCTTCCTCGGGTCTCCATCTCAGACCCGTTTTTGTGACCTTTGAGATCTTTCCAAGAGCCCTAGCGACACCTGACTCCCCACCTCTGGCTCCAACCTGTTGCATCCACTATTCTCCGCCTTACCCCTCCTTTCTGGTAGCAAGAGGTGACAGCAGAGAAGCGGAGCCAGCGGCCGCTCAAGCCAAGCCCACCCCTGCTCCCTGGAGGGAGGCTCCTCCTTTTAAGGCTGCTTCTGGGAATTCCCACCCCGAGCCAGAACTCGAGACCCCAGCCCCAGCTCGGTACCTGCAGCTCATTCTTAAAGAGATGAGGTTGCGGCATCAAACCTGAGGGCGGGAGCAGCTGACCCTGAGAGGGGGAGGGCAAGGCGCCTCCCTCCCGGTGCCTGCCCCTCGCCCCGCACTTCACCGAGGCCAGCAGGTCCGTGCGGGTCAGAATTAAATCCAGAGAGATCGCAGGGGCCAGCCTCCTGATAGAGGACGCTCTCTCGCAGCTCCATCCTTTGCGCCCGGGGACCCCTGCCCGAGGCTGGTAGCCCAAGAGTGCCAGTACGAGTACGCCAATCGGACCAGCTCCGGCTTCACAGCCTCGCTGGCCAGGAAGGTGGACACCTCGCACCTCAGTCTCCCAATTACGCCTCCTCCCACCCCTCCATCCCCTTCGGCTAGCCTTCTTCCCTCCGTCTACTTCCATCCCTGAAAACCTGTGGCTCCGAGAGACCTTGGCTTTCTTGGGACTCTACCCCAGGGGCCTGCCCACATCCGCTCCTGAGTTTGAGGGGCAGAGGGGCAATCGCCCCAAGAAGTCTCTCCAGCGATGGGAGCCGCCCGGCTGCTGCCTAACCTTACCCTGTAAGTGTGATGCCTGTGACTGGAGTTCTCCTTGTCATTTCCAGCCCCAGGAATGTTGTACCTTCCGGGGACTATCATTGGGCAGGTGGGGCAAGACAAAGGTGGGGGACGGGTGTGCCCTGGCGTGCCCACACCTGGAACTGCCTTGTCTCCTCAAACAGGTGCTTGCAGTTATTGATTCTCTGCTGTCAAACGCAGGTAGGCACCCCTGCTTAGCCCCCTCTCAACCTTTCCCACCTCACCTCGAAGGAGGGGAGGCAGGACTGGCCTCCCCCAGCCCAGCAACTGCTGAGGTTTGGAGAATCAGTTCAGAAGGTGGGTTGGAGAACAGGCTGAAGCAGAATGGGGGGGGGGGGGGGTAGGCTGAGGTTTGCCTCCCAGGTCTTCCGAAAGACCCTCCTGGCTTCCCCTGGGTCTCTGCTTTCTCCTTCCCTCTGTGCTGGGCTTCGGAATGGCTAAGGGCAGGGTGTTGTTTATGTCTGAGGGATAGAGCCCTGGGGCAGTTAGAAGCCGGTGGAGGCAAGAGCTCAGGTAAGGCTTGTGCCTCCAGGTACCTGAAGGGTTTGGGTTTGAAACCACTTGTTTGGTCCAGTCACCCATCACCTACTATTACCAACATGTTTGGACCATAGGTCTCAGGCACAGTTGGAGTGTCCAACCAGGTAGCGGGACCCATTTCCTATAGGGTTTCCTAGGTCAAGCCTAGAGGTTTGTTTGGGATGGAATTCAGGGCTTACCTCTCCACACTCACGCACACACCTCCCACCCCCAAGCCTCAGCCCCCAGCTCAAGGCAAGGCCCGGTCCCTTTTTTGTGATCCTCCATAAAAGTGCAGCTATTAAAATGCACTGGTCCAGAACCGCTCTGGGGAGAGATGGCCTGGCTTTCCCAGGCCAGAGGCCTGTTTCTCTTCCCATCCACTGGAGACTTTTTTTTTTTTTTTTTTAAGGTAAATGCCTTTTCTCTGGAGTGGGAAGGGGCTGCCTTTGAAGCAGTGGGGGTAGGGGTGGGAGAGAGACAACACCCCCCTTTTTCTTCCCCCTTTTGCTCTAGCCCGTTCCAGGCCTTTTGCTTCACACATATAGGGAGAGTAAGAAGAAAGCCCCCAGCCTGGCAGGGAGGGGGCTGGGGGTGGGTCCAACCTGTTCTGGAAAGGGAATTAGCACAATGGTGCTGCTGGCCTGGGCGTTTATGGCCTGGCTGAGGCCCCATTCAGGACTCAGGGAAGGTGGCAAGGCAGTCCTTTCCCCCTTGAAGTGCCCCCTCACCCCCTGGGAGGGGGGGCAACAGGCTGAACCACAGCCATGCTTGAGGGGCTGTCTGACAAGCAGCTGTCTACCGTGGTGGAGGGGAGGTCCCCCCACAGCGGGAACATGAAAGGAACAGGCAAGGTCCTGTGGGAGAGGGACTTGTGGGCTGGGGTGGGGGGAGGCGTGGGCTACTTTTGTGAAAGATTTGAAGGAGGACAAGAAGAGGAGGGGTTTGGGGGGCGCCTGCTATCTGCCCCTGACCTGGAAGAGACTGCCAGGGGAAGGCTGCCCGCCAAGTGGGGCGGACATCCTGAACCTGGGCCAGAAGGCTAAGGCTGAGCTAGACAGGAACCCTCCAGGGGCAGGGATGCCTGTGAGGGCTAAGCGGCACACTCCCCAACATAAGTGCTGGCCTCAAGTTTCTCTAGGGTGGGATGCACAGTAGGTCCCGCAGATGTTCTCATGCTCCCAAAGGTCTGGCAACACCTGACCTTTACAGAGTGGTGTCAGGAATAGACAGCAACAGAAGGGTTAGTTGGAAGGGGACAACCCTGAGCGGGTTAAACCCTGGCCTTGAGGCTACTCTTGAACCACCACCCCATAAGTTGATATACCCCACCCCTCTATCTAGGATAGTGTCTCCTAAAACATGCTAAGCTGTGTCTAACTCTGTCTTGGTCCAAGTGACCGGCTTCAAGCTTGAGATAATTATAGTGGAAATTGGGCATTAGGAACAGGGAAGTGAGGTCCTTACACAAGCCTTTCATGCTGAGTTGAGGCTATAACCAGCAGCTGGCAACTGTCACCCTAGAAAGCACCTTGGAGGAGATTGTACAGAAAGATTTCTGTCCCACTCGGGTAAGGCTGGGTAAGGCAAGCCCCAGTGTGGAGATGTGGTACTGGACAGGCTTGATGGATGGTGGAAATAAATGGCTCCTTTCACCACCCTAGGAGGCAGGCCACTAAATACCTAGAAAACTGCCACAGGCAGGCAAGTGACCATAAGAGCAGCCCCTGGTACCACCTTCTACTGATGCCTCTCTCCCCCTACACTAGGCATATCTCTCTCTCTCTCTCTCTCTCTCTCTCTCTCTCTCTCTCCCCTCCAGCTTCTCTAGGACACTTTGGATAAGTACCTAATAGGCTCTCAAAATGCACTCCCAGTGGTTAAGTCCATGCATTTAACAAACCAGCTGCAGGTGTGCTGGGGCTGGGGCCTTTCAAGGCTAGTGGGGTGTGTGGGGCATTCTAGTGGTCCTGATTAATGGAGCCAAGACCCCAGAGAAAGAGGAAGGGATTCTGGCTGTGAGTTGCATGTCCTGCGCACCTGTCCTATAGAATATGGGGACAGGACACACAACCTTAAAGATTTCTTCTAGCAACCTGTTATGATTGCAGATGTATGCTGTTTCACTGTGTTTCCCAAGACTGACAACCACGAGTCCCCCAAAAGTCACAACTGGTTCATGCAGCATCCTGGGAAGACCATGGGCACAGGCAGTCTTCAGCTTGCACCCTGCTCTGCAGGGCACACAGCCAGCCCTGCTCATTTACCTCCTCACCCCACTCCCCAGATGGGCCAATGGTGGTGTCACCCAAAGCAAATTGACACTATTTTTCCCTTGGTAACCGCAAAGGGGGAGAATCACCCGTCTCCTAATTTTAACCAGTACGTGAGGGACCAGGGCGCTATGACTGACCAGCTGAGCAGGCGGCAAATCCGTGAGTACCAGCTCTACAGCCGGACCAGTGGCAAACACGTGCAGGTCACCGGGCGACGCATCTCTGCCACAGCCGAGGATGGCAACAAGTTCGGTAAGACCTGGCCTTTAGCCCTGACCACTTGTACCCTGCCCAGCCTGGCCTCCGGGTTTGCTCCCAGCTCCTGAGTCAGGGGGCTTGAGGTACTGTGGATAGAGGAAGCCTCTTGGTGCTGCAAGCCTGATAGTTCACCATCCCTTTGGCCTGACTTTGAAGGGCAGACCGATTGGGGGAAACCCTTGCACATCCCTGAGCCGGCAGCCCTGGTAGACACAGGTCCTTCTTCCTTCCTTCCCCCACAGCCAAGCTCATCGTGGAGACTGACACATTTGGCAGCCGGGTCCGCATCAAGGGGGCAGAGAGCGAGAAGTACATCTGTATGAACAAGAGGGGCAAGCTGATTGGGAAGGTGAGGCCTGAGACACAGGGTGGCAGACAGATGTCGTCTTCCCTGCTGGAGTAAGGGCAGGCGGGGCCACAGCACCCGTACTCACTCTTGCTACCGAACAAGCGCACTTGGTTAGAGCCAGGGCTCCTGCTTGACAGGTTGAGATCTTACTTTGACAACCATCTCATCCCTCAATCTCTATTTCATTTTTTTATTAGTCTAAAGATTTATTTATTTTTATCCTAGGTGTATGAGTGCTTTGTCTACACCTATGTCTGTGCAGCACCTATGCCTGGTGCCTCTGGAGGTCAAAAGGAATCAGATCCCTTGGAATTAGAGTCACAGATAGATGGTTGTGAGCTGCCACGTAGGTGCTGGGACCTGAACCCAGGTTCTCTGCTGCAGCAGCCAGTGCTCTTAGGCTGGCTAACACATTTCTTCAGACTCTGATCCCTCTGATTAACTCTCTACTAATTTTAAAATATTTATCTTTATCTTATGTGTGTGGGTGTTTTGTCTGCATGTGTGCCTTTGCAGCACATGCTGGTAGAAGCCAGAAGAGGGTGCCTGACCCCTGAGAACTAGAGTTCCACTCTTTAGCCTCCATGTGAGTACTGGGAATCAAACTCTGGCCCTCTGGAAGAGCAGCCAGTGATCTTGACCACAAGCCATCTCCCCAGTCCCTATACCTCTATTTTAAAGAGTCCTCGTGGCCCCTGGTCTGCTGAAATCACAGGGGATCCACAAGGAACCTGGTGCTGATGTAAGGGATATTTCCCCAGCATAGAACAGGAAGAATTTATCATCTACATGATGTTGTGTGTGGTGTGGTAGCCCATTGGAAGGGCAAAAAGGTGATAAGAGTTGATAGTTGGGGTATTCCTGTGTGTTAGAAGCTCTCCCAAGCTCAGCGGGGTTCATGGACAAAGGCTAGCAAGATGCATGCTATGCACTTCCTGGTGGAGCCTCAAAGCACTGTGGGTACAGAGCTTCCTTTAGAACTGCCCAGTCTTGACTTCTGGCTCTGACTGTACTCACTTCTCACCTATAAGGTCATGGGTGTGGCTGGCTCCCATCCCTCTCTCCACCCTGTGGGGAGAGCTCCTTTCAGCCAGAGAGCACAGAATTCTCATGAGCCACATCCATGCCCCCAAGCCCCAGCACTGAATTATGTATTACCCTGATCTTGACCCTCCATGTGAGCATCCAAGGGAACTGAGTGAGATTCAGTGCTTTCTCAAGGCTTCCTCAAGGGACTCAAGTGTCTTAGTGATTTCAGTTCGGCTCTGATTCCAAGTACAGCCTGTGTGTACTGCCCACTGTTTTACCTCACTAACAAAGGTGCCCATCCCACCAGACAGTTACCCTTGGACACAGTTATTCCTTGCTCCCACATGGGTCCTACCAAAAATAGCTCCAAAGGCAGACAACCCAGCCAGGGTGAGTGGACAAATTCCCCTCCTCTGCTCCTTTCTTCTGTAGCCAAGCGGGAAGAGCAAAGACTGCGTGTTCACGGAGATCGTGCTGGAGAACAACTACACAGCCTTCCAGAACGCCCGGCATGAGGGTTGGTTCATGGCTTTCACTCGGCAGGGCCGGCCACGCCAGGCCTCCCGGAGCCGCCAGAACCAGCGAGAGGCCCACTTCATCAAGCGCCTCTACCAGGGCCAGCTACCCTTCCCCAACCATGCTGAGAGGCAGAAGCAGTTCGAATTCGTGGGCTCAGCCCCCACCCGCAGGACCAAGCGCACTAGGAGGCCCCAGCCCCAAACGTAGTCAGGAAGGCCATAGTAGATGCCGGGTAGATGACCCCCAGCAGCCTTCCCTCTCTCCTCTAACTCATCCAAAGATGGGGACTGGGGTGGAGGGTGGGGAGCTAGACCCCCAAAAGGATCCCGAGCGCATGAAGTTTCTGATTCTCAGCTGGGAAGGGTGGACACCACACTCTGGAGTAGGCTTTTTTGAGGACAGGGACAGTCCCCAGGAGAGGAAATAGGGTCTCCTTGACCTAAAATGCTGCCTCCCAGCGTCTGCCTGAAACAAGTGAGTAGGCCAGCAGATTCAGGGCTTGTAGGACTGTACTCGTTTATCTTGCTCCCAGAACCAAATACCCAAACTCCTGACCAGACATAGGAAGGGGCTTTGGGTTTTGTTTTCCAAAGAGAGAGAGAGAAAGAGAAACAAAAGCCAGCCACTCTTGAGATTTCTCACCCCAGGCCTGCGCCCCCACCCCAAGCCCCAGAATAAAACCATTTTCCTGCAACCGGGTCCGCTGAAGAAAGGTGGGCAATCAGACCACAGAACTCAACTGCGAAGTGTCTGGTGCTGACCGCACCGAGAAGCCAGGTGCTAGCTGGGGAAGATGGGCGCCTGGGCACACAGGTGCTGGAGCCTGCGTGTTCGGCTGTGCGGGTACCGGGAGGCTAAGGCCCTCTCAGGCCCGGGGGACTGGCGGCCCCTCCCTCCGCGAGCTCCGATGTCTCCGCTCACGCGACTCGTCCCTGCTACCTGTAGGAGAGAAGAAAACCCAACCCCTAGGCGCGGCCCTGAGCGGCTGCTGGCAGGGACAGGCGTCCTGTGGGGCCCAGGCCTGGGGAGGGGGGGGGGCGGGAGGAGCGGGGCCCGGGGACGCCAGAAGTCACCTCGCGGGGAGCAGGATTGCTTTTTTCCGGTGAGCAGGGCTGGGAGGGGGAGGAGGTCTGGGACGAGCGGAAGCGGTGGGGGCGAGAATGTGTCCCCCTTGTTCTCCCGGGCGGAGGCGGGGGCCACACCTGAGGGCAAGCCTTAATTAGAGGCGGCCGCAGGCTGAGAGTGGAGGGGGAGGACGCCCAGCCCCCATCGAGCTTCTGGGGTGGGCTTTCCCAGAGGCTTCCAGGTGTGCCCAGGGGTGGAAGCCATAAAACCGCCTTTCGCACGGTGCGTTGGCTTTTAATCTTGTCAAGGGGGAGGTTCTTGTGTCTGGGACCCTCCTCTCAGTCCCTCTCCTCGACTGATGGACTCCTCAGGCTCAGTTTCCCAGGTTAAGAAAAGCGGGGAGGAAAATTATGAAGAGAGATGAAAAAGGATGAAAGCTGATCTTCATCCACGTCTCCCAAGAATTAATTGAAAAAGTCCAGGCCAGAAGTTATAGGACGAGGGAGCTGGTTTAGTCTGAACTGGAGGTGGGCTGCGTCAGACAGACAGAACCAACTCAGGGCTGGAACCGAGCCTGAGCCCCCAACCCTGGGCCATTTAGAAGGTGGAGCCGACAACAGCCAAGAGGGAGGTCCCGCAGACCTAGGATTGACATTCTCCTTCCAGCTCGTCATAATTGCTTTTCACCAGGTTGCTTTTTTTCTGTCCCTCATCACAAAGAGCCTTAATCCTAGTGAAGACCGCCGGACGTGTTGGGGGTAGTTTTCTGGGGTGTGTGTAGGGCGGGTGGTCTGGGGCTGCAGCTGATAACTGGTGAGTTCAATGGAACTTTAAAACTGGGGCAACACCCAGCAATTACTTGAGGACAAAGGGTTGGGGCCCCCAAGGTGTGGAGTATTGGGACTTTGGGGGGCTGGGAGGACTTTGAGAAGGAGAGGGGGGCTCTGATCCCTCTGATTATCACAGGAATTTGAGACATTCTTTAAGACTCTAGACTGCCTCTCCAGCCGGGCCTTGCCCACCCCCACCCTCCCCTCTTGGGTTAGAGACAGCTTCAAAGGTGGACTGGGCCCTTTGTCTGGCCTCGGCTTTCTTCTCAGGCCTTTCTCGGCCCCTCCCTCCCTCTTTGACCTCCCCAGCACAGACAAGCCTCTCGGGGCCAGCTCCAGAAAGCCCTCACTGTTTCCTTTCTTGCTGTTTGAGGTGAGGCCTGGCAGTCAGGGACAGAGTATGTCAAAGAGTGAAGGGACAGTTTTGGAGAGCAGGGCTATACGGGAAGGGAAGCCAGGAGCATCTCAGAAAGCCTATCTCAGAGAGCCTTCAATCTATCTGATCCCTGGTTGGGCTCAAAACCCACTCCTCACAACACCCCTCAGCGTCTTCTCCCAGCAGGCAGGATCCCTACCCTAGGTAGCTTTTCATATCCCAGAGCCTTCTGGACAAGTTGGACATGAAAATGCTAGAATGAAGAAGCCACAGCCAAACATGATGATATATACCCCTGTAATCCCGGCCCCTGGAAGCTAAGACAAGAAGACTGAGATTTCTTGCCTGGACTACATGAGACCCTGTATAAATAAATAAAGAAACAAACAAACAAATAAAAAGTAGGATGGGTCTCTGGTAATAAACTAGTATAAGGGGTTTATGGTAGGAAAGAGACTTCTCAATGGATTTCAGATCCACATAGAGACTTGTGCAGCCATGGCTGCTTCTGGTGCCTGAATCATACATGCAGTCTAGCTTCTTGCTAGACAATAGCTTCTTGCTATAAGGAGCAAGATGAACCCACTCAGGGAGAAGGAGTGGAGGGAGGCAGCAGAGACTCAAGTCCTGTGATATAGCATTACCATAGTCTAAGAATAGCCTCCACATGGCTGTCTTTTGCTTTGTCCCTCACTGTCCTATCCTCTAAACTCCAAAGGAGCTAGTGTAAGGAAGTCAGGAATGATGTCCATCCACTTCTGATGCCACATGGCGGGTTCTATTTTTAAGTCACGTTGTTCAACAAGGTCCATTGGATGCCAGTAGTCAGTGGCCTCCCAGTTACTAGGCCAGCAGTAGGCCTGTCAGTTCCACGTCTCAGCCTTCGCCAGCAGTAGGCTGTCCACCCTGGCTTCGATGCCCTGTTCCAGTAGAAACATCTCTAAGCCTTTTATGGGCTTCCTTCCTGAGTATCGTCACCTGGAAAGCCAGGGGCACCTCTCAGCCATCACTTCTTAGCAGACTTTCTCCAGGTTCCGTATAAATGAAGTCTCTGCCTACCCACGTCTGTGCATCCACTTACCTGCCAAATGCACACATCTTTGAGGCCCATCAATCCTAGCCTTGTTTTCACACATCCTGCCCAGCCTCCACGTGAAGCCCTTACAGATGCTTCCAAAACAAGAACACTTGCTCACACCACGCACGCACACACTAATCGCACCACCCTCTGTTTTGCTTACTTTATTTCTTGTCGTGTGTGTGTGTGTGCATGGTATGTGTGTGGACAGACTTTCATGTGAAGGACACAGGACAAACAGAGTTGCTTCTCTCCTTCTACCTTTACGAGGGTTCCAGCCATCAAACTCAGGCCATCAGGCTTGACCACAAGTGCCTTAACCTGCTGAGTCACCTCCCTGGCCCTGTTTTCGTTTTGTTTTCAATAAAATTTTGTTTGCTTTTATTTTGTGTGTATGGGTGTTTTGTCTGCATGTATGTTTGTGCACCACATGTGTGGCCTAGTGCCTTCAGAGAATAGAAGTAGGGGCTAGATGCCCTGTGGGCAGTTGTTAAACACTTGAGGTGGGCACTGGGAATTGAACTTGGGTCCTCCAAAAGAACAGCAAGTGCTCTTAAATGCTGACATTGCTGAGCCATGTTTTTCACCCCTGGGGGGGGCTTTTTGTTGTTGTTTATTTATGTGTGTGTGTTATATGTGTGGTATGTATGAGAGCAGGGGGACGTTAGTCAAGTGGCAAGGACATATACAGTCTCATGAGCTTTAGTCTGCAGTGCGCACTGAGCTGGAACGCACTCTGTAGCCTGGGCTGACTTCAAACTTGCAGCAGTCTCCCTGACTCCCAGGTGCTGGGATTCCAGGTGTGAGTCACCGCAGTCACTGCAGTGTTCCCAGATCTCAGTTCTGAAAGGTTCGACTCAACTGTGCTCTTGTCTGGCTACTTCCCAGCACTACACTGTCTATCTCTTACAATGCAGGCAGGACGGGAAGCTGGAACCCTCAGGTGTACTCTGAGACAAGGGGGTCCTGAGCAGTTACTTTGAATTAAGTATTCATTTCCTCCCCTAGGTACTGAATCGCCCTGTAGATCCTCCAGTTAATTAAAATGTTGGAGAAGATGGAGCTTTCAGGGCACTTGAATTTTAATTGGAGAGATTAACCCATAAAAATATGGTTCCTCCGTTGCGACTTTTTGGAATTCTCTCTCCCTCTTAAAATTCAAATAAAAGGGCATCCAGGTGTGGTAGCACCGCTGTAATTCTATCACTTGGGAATGAGGGGATTGAGGCATGAGGATTTCAAGTTCAAGGCCAAGCTGGGTCACTTATCTAATGAGGCTCCTTTTTAAAAAGAAAAAAAGATCCCCAAAGAATAGATAAGTTTTGGGCTAAAACTGAGCACCATCCTCATGTCTCTAACAGCAACACTTAGGCTTAAGAAGAACTTGAGGCTGGGCTACGGAATCTCAAGGGGACAAAAGTTTTGGAAATAAGGAACTAAAATGTACTAATTGATAGAACTGTGCCAGGCAGCAGGCAGGCAGGACCCCATTGACTGCCTCAGTCATGCTGTGGACATTGTTTTTGCTTGTCACTCAAGTGCGTCCTGCTGTCTGGGTCCTTGCTCTCTGGCAGGACCTCAGTGCAAGTCTCCACTCCCAGTATGGTCGGAGCCGAAAGCGTACATGGGAAAACAACTGGAATGTTGGGTCAAAGTGTGAAGGCTGGTTCTGGCTCTGTGTGTGGCAAGGATGAGACTACGAAGGGCTCTGAGAGAGGAGTGACAGGTACAGTGTTCTGGTGGCAGCACCCTTGCTTGGTGCTGAATCTCTGGGTCTTAGAGGCTAAGATCCAGTTTCTAGCACAGTGGTTTTCAACCTATGGGTCACAACCCTTTCCCAGGGGTCACCTAGGACCATCAGAAAACATATTTACATCATGATTTATAACAGTAGCAAAATTACAGTTATGAAGTAGCCATGAAAATGATTTTATAGTTGGGGGTCACAACTCGAGGAGCTGTATTAAAGGGTCAAAGAACTAGGAAGGTTGAGAACCACTGTCCTCGTAGGAAGAAGAAGTGTCTTCCAGTCTCTGCTGGGAAATACTCACTTTTTGTTGTTGTTGTTTTGTTTTTTTGTTTTTTGAGACAGGGTTTCTCTGTGTAGTCCTGGCTGTCCTGAAACTCACTCTGTAGACCAGGCTGGCCTCAAACTCACAGAGATCCACCTGCCTCTGCATCCCCAAGTGCTAGGATTACAGGCGTGTGCCATAGCGCCCAGCTACTTTTTTCAAAAAATTGTTTCTTTGGTTTTTCCCTTTTTTTTCTTTTTTCCTTGTATGTATGTATGTATGTGTTTGTTTGTCGCTTTATTTATTTATTAAAATCATACTATATGGCCTGGGCTGGCCTCAGACTCACAGCAATCCTTCTGCCTCTGCCTCCCAAGTGTTGGGATTATGGACATAGGATACCACATCCATCCTAAACTGGCTACTTTTGGCTTTCATCCTCCTTTTCTTCTTCATCTGGCCTGGGTCTTTGTCCCCTCTTCCTCTCCAAGTGTCCAGGTGCCCTGGCTCAACCTTTCTAGGAGTTAATATTTAGACCTCATAGGAGCACCCAGGTTGGTGCAAGGGGTGGGGCCTGGGCACTGGAGTGAGACTTGGACAGAAGCCTGTTGCTTGGGCCACAGTCCTCTCAGGAAGTGTGGCACCAGTGACCTTTGTGGAGAAAATAGCCCAGGAGTATTGTCTGAGCCTGGAACCCTTTTCCTGAGAAAGGAAAGAGTGTCTATCCTCTGCTGGGACTGCAAAGGCCTCCTCACAAGACCTGAGAGCTTCAAAAGGTATACTGGCCCTGTCTAAGGGAGGCCTCCTTGCCTGTTGGGTTGTTTGAGGGTCTGGAAGAAGCTTATCTAGGACCAGAGTCAACTGGAGCCTGGGGTTAATGTCGCCAGCTCCTGGGGAAGAAAATTTATATGACAGAAAGGAAAAAGAGGGAGAAGAAAGTCAGATCAGAAGGGGAGTTGGGCCTTCCCAGGACTTGGCTGGATGGAACCCTGTTCTCCACAGATAGGGCGGGGCAGGGTGAGCAAAGAGTGGAGGTAGAGAACATCAAGGCAGAGGAGGGTCTCCTCCACCACCAACACGCACTCACCCTCACCGTATCCCACCTCCCCTGCCCCACAAGCACACACCAGATTCATCCTAGCAAGGGATGACCTTGACAACCTGAGGTCGACAGAGGGAGCCCTAACTCTGTGGACCCTTTGGCTCCAGCACTGACTGGGCTCTAGCCTGTTCCTGCCCAAGGAGTCTGGCTGATAGGCAGACATTCCTAAACACCAAGCACCATGCGACTGAGGTTCTGGGGGAGTGAATTTGGGCCTTGAGGGACTAAAATAGGCTGTCTTAGACTCTTTGGTCTAGGTCAGGGGGTAGGGGCAGATCGGGGACTTGAAAGAGGTACCCAGGTAGATGGTAGAGGTAGGAGCCCATGGCCACACATCTAGCCCAGCCAGTGACCTTCTGGGATGCCGTCCTTCCAACACCAGGGCTGTAAATCCCTTGTTCCTGTCACCTTTCCCCACGTACTGGATGGGCTGCCTAGAATAGGGTCGTCATCCTTCCAACCGGCCCGTTGTCTGGCCCTGAATTATGGTTCCCTCCAGACCACTCCTGGAGCCAATCCTGGCTTAGGAGAGAGTAGGGGGAGGGCACACCTTGGTAGGGTACAGTTGGGGGCACAGTCCCAGCTTTGTAGGCTCTGCAGGGTCCCTCCCTCTGTCCCTGAGGAAGAAGCAATACGAGTCAGTTTTTCTCCTCCCCCTCCCATCGCTGCTGAGCTGGGCCTGGGCTGCCAGGAGGTTGTCTTGGCAACGGGAGGCGGAAAGGAGATGCGCTGAGGGATGGAGGTGTATGTCACCGCAGAGGCTGCCGTGTTCCTGCCCCACGCCCCAGGCCCTTGAAGGTACTGAGAACCCTCCCCTCTTGTTCCCCTCCTCCTGGCCCTTTCCCTGGACTCTCCGCACTCTTCCCTACCTCACAGGCTGGCTTCCATCAGGCAGGGACTCCTCTCCTTCTGGATTTTTGACTCCCATCCAGGGCTAACCCACCTTATTTTAGGCTCCTGTCTACAGCTGTCCTTTCTGACATCAGCCGGTTCCCAGCATACCTCTGGAGACCCTTGCACTGGAAGACATGTCTCCTGGGGTGGGGTCTGGAAGGGGCTGGTAATCAAGGGAGGAGGAAGCGAAGCTGAGGCAAGAGCAAAGTCAGGAATCTGAAGGGCTAAGTGTCAGATCCCTGGGTACTTGGTCTTCCGGAGGAATGGGAAATGCTTTGGAGTAGGGCCTCCTTTCCCTCCCATTCTTTCAGAGCCAGACTCCCGGGCTACAAGGGTGGAGTTGAAGGGACAGACATTGAGAGGCTGAGGCTGTGGAAAAAGCCTGGTAGCTCCTCCTCCACGCTGTGTCCCCCTCCCTGCACATTAAAGGTATACCCCAGGTATACCGCGTACGTCGCTTCTGGCCTTTCCTCCATGCTTCTGTGGATTGGCTGTTTCCTCCTTCACCCCAGGCTTTTTTTTTTTTTTTCCCTGTACCTTCCAAGCAGCTAAACCTGGATTCCCTGCTCTCCTTCCCCCTCCTTCAGCAATCAGCTACCTGCCTCCATCATTTCTCCTTCTGTCCAAGCCACCTTCAGGATACAGTCTTCTCTGTCCTCCACTAATCCAGATATACCCCCTCCCCCTCTGTCCCCTTTAGTCTCTTCAGTCTTCCTCTTTTTGAAAAAGGAGGCTGGGGCCATATTCTTACCTGTCACCTTCAAGCCCCTCCCCCTGAGATTTTTCCATTCAGAAACCCCAGACTCCCCCCCCCAACCTCCAGATCCTAGCTTTGCCCCAATAGCTGCTGATATCATCAGCTGACCGGCTGTGGGCAGCGGTTACCAGGGCAACGGCAAGGCTGCCTAGGTAGGCAAGTCTGCAGCCGACAGGGAGGTGGGGAAGGTAGCCAGTTTATGCTAATAAGGGTCAGTGTCCAGGCTTTCTCTATGCACCCCAAAGCCAATGGTGGAGGCCTGGAGGGGTTGAAGTTTTGCCAGGGAGAGAAGGCATGCCTCTTTATTTTCTGTACTGGAATGGGTACCATCTGGTAAGACACTTCCTTTTCAAGCCAAGTCCTTCATTTTCTCCACTGGCCCCTACTGCCATTCCCAAGGGATCAAGGTTACTGAAAGTCCAATCTGAATCTTACTAATTTATGACCTGGTCCCTTCCATTCCTTCCATCCATGCTTGGATGACCAATTCTGGTACCCCTGCTGTTTTCCTCCGCCAGGGGTGTGAACCTCCTACAGAGCCTCTCCACTGCCTCTGGAAAATGGTGGAGCACTACAAATGGGGTTTGAGTTGCAGGTGCCTGAAGAGCTGGGCATAGCTCCCCTCAGTTATCAGTAACAGCCGCGTTACCCCGGCTATTTGAACTCTGCTGGAGGGGCTGTGGGTGTGGATTTTGAAGAGCCGGGGTGTGGGAAAAGGGAAAAAGGCAGCGCGGCCAATTCTGCTTCGTCACGATGCCAGCTAATGCGCCCCTTGTTTGAAATGAATAGGCTGCAGCAGCAGCTGAGGTGGACTGGACCAGCAACACACCCAAACACTCACACCCTGGGGCCAGCCACTATCAGTTGTTGGTGGGGAGGGGCCCGCCCGCCCAGCGACCGCCCGTCCTGCCCGCCCACCAGACACCAGACGCGCGGACTCCCCAGCACCAGTAACCCAAGCTGGTGGCTTGCAGCACAGCAGGGTACCGGGTGAAGGGGGTGGGGGCTCAGAAGGGAGATCAGACCGCTGAGCTGAGACCAGCTCCCCCCCTTCGCCAGCTCCCACCCCACCCACCCTAAGCCGGCTTTCTTCCTGTTATTTGTGCTTCGCTAAAGCGCGGCTGGGTTCCTGGAAGAGCCGCCTCTTACCTAGATTCCCGAGAAAACGCGGCAACCCGTGGACCAGGGCCTAGGCCTTTTGCCTCTTGGGGCTTCAGAGAGCCTGGGCCCCACTTTTTGGGAAGAGGTAGGTGGCAGGGTCCTCTGCCTCTCTTTCTTTCTGTAGGTATTTTGGGCTGTACCTCTGGCTCGGGGCATGGATGCTAGGACAGGTTCAGCTTTGGACCGTTGATCAGTGGCCAGACCAGGAGCTCAGCTGGGTTTGACCTGATCAAACCCCCTCCTTATTTGGGGAGGAGGATCTAGGGTATTGCCATGTAAGGAGTCCATGCAGCGTGTGTCCTGAGTCCTCCACCCTGCCTACCTAGCTTCTGTGTCCAGAATTTCAAGGGGTTGGCGTCAGGAGGGCACAGTCCGTGGAGGGAGCTGTTGCCTTTTTGCTGAATGATTCAAGAAATCTTTGCCAGCCTCCCTCCCTCTAGGCCAGGTGCCCTCCGGAGTGGCAAAGGTTCAGCGGAGGACCCAAAGCTGTTGTTTTACAGCGTGCTCTGGAACCCCTCCTACTGAGGTTGGCCAGGTTGGGGTGGGGATTCACTGAAGAATGAGGCTGGGTAACAGGGCGTGACTGAGCCTCTAGTCTGGCCTCTCCTCTTGCCGGCAGCTAGTGTACTGAGAGAGACTCAGTGCTGAACAGACCCAGAGATCCTCGGGGTCCTCAGGGCTTTTTCTTTCCCAGCACCAGACTCAACGCTGCTCCCTTTGCTAGGCAGGCACACCTGCATGTCTCCTCCCAGAAGACTGGTTGCCAGGTTGTTGTAGGCCTAAGAAAGGCATCTGTGCTGTGGGAGTGGAGAATGTGGGAAAGCCCCCAGGGGATGAGCCGGGTGAGGGCACTGTGAGTATTGGGGTCCACGTGCTCTGCACGGGGATGGGTTCAGCAGACCATGCCAGGGGGCTATGCGCTTAGGTAGCGGATGCCAAGGGAAGGATCAGTGGGTGGGTGCAAGTAGGTGTTCTCGGCACCATGCGTCATTGTGTGGGGGTCTGGCAGGGAGAGTGGGCGAGTGCTCTGGCAAGGAGGGCTGCAGAGTCCCTGCGTGCACCCGTGTGCGTGAGTTCCGTCGTCCACGGCAGAGCTCTGCCGCCTGTATGCTCCTGGGAGTCTTGTCTCATACATCTGGCCTTTCTGTGGTTGGGACAACATCTGTCGGCTGGTGGGCAATGTCCGCAGAACCCTTTTAGAGCTCATATGTGGGGAGAGTGGAATAAGGGCTTCTCCTGAATTCTGAAAGCTGGGCTCAGGGTGGGATTTTTCTCTCCTCCAAGATCTGCTAATCCAGCTGTTCCCCAGGCCTCAGATCTGGAAGGCCATAGCAGAAATAGGTCATAGGTCGGGACCAAGCAAGCCTGAGGGGCTCACAGACCCAGAAAGGAAGAACCTACCTCTTCTGAGGGAAGTGTATACAAAATAACCTTTGAACCCAGTCAGAAGAGAAACCCTAATAAGCCTCTGCATATTTGTGGGGTCAGAGGAAAAATGGGCGCTGAGGCTCAGGGCTGTTGTCACTGAGAGCAGGTGGGCAGGTCCTGGAACAGATGGACTCTGTTATCTGCTCCTTGTGGCTACCTGATATTAGAAATACCTAGTCCAAAGCAACAGGAAAAGGCTAAGAAAAAAATTGCACGAGGTGGGGAATGAAAGTAGAAGTAACAGGGCTTTGCTGGGCTCAGAAAAGGCTGGGGCTATTGCTTGACTTAAGTAAGGCCTTTTGTGAGTCACTGGCCTACACAGGCCCAAACCCTGCTGTCCTGTGTCTCACCCCACCCTACAATACACACATTCATTATAGTGCATCCAGTCTCTGCACTGTTGGTTGGCTACACCGCCCTTCTCCCACCCTAGGATGCTGTTTTGGTAACTGGTGACCTAGCTGGAGCCTGTCTTTATTTCTGGTGTTGAGTTGTTGCCACAGCAACTGTGGAAGTGGAGCTGGGAGGGGGAGAGGGAGAGAGTGAAAAAAGGCAAAGAGAGAGAGAGGGAGAAAAGATGAAGAAGGAAAAAGGAAGGCACGAAGGAAGAGACACTGCATGAAACAGAGACAGAAGACAGACCTCCTACCCATGTGGCAGGCCTGTTTAACTCCTTTTCTACCTGTGGCCTTCTCCAGCATGGCTTGATGATGCCCAGATGCTCCAGGGCCAGATCCAAAAGTCTCCCCCCAATCCTTGACTTGCAGCTCTTGTGCTACAGGTGAGGTTCAAGGCAGAGAGGACCAAGCTCATATTAAAACAGGATCTTTGGGGGTGCATGGGAACTTCCTTCAGCTTCAATATAATCTGGGTGCAATTCCAGCTTGCCTTCCTTTGGGTGGCCTTGGGTAAGCTCACCTCTCAGCCCTTTTGTCCAATGTATGGAGTCCAGCCAGGCTATATGAATACCCCCAGCCCAGGCACCCACACAGAGAAAGTAATAACTGGCTTAGGATGGGAGCAGAGGCTGGGCCAGACGCCACGTGAGATGGTGGATCTGCCTGCCTGCCGAACCTGTCTCTTAATCTGGATTCACCCCTGTCAGAAACACAAGCCCTGGGATGGGTGGGTGCACACTTGGAGATCCCTGTGGGCAAGTCTTATCACCCTCATCCTGGGGAGCTGCAAAGCTCTGGTTGCTGTGATGATGAGAGGGTGGATGGTTTAAGGTGGAGCCTGGCTGGTGGCTCAGATAAGGCTGGGTCACCCAGCTGAAGGTGGGCGCGGCTGAGATGGAAGGATGGGAAACCTCCTGGCTAGTGACCTGAGCCTGGGAGGTTGAAGGGTGTCTTCCGACACCTGGGCTCGCTTCCTCCGTGGTGCTACACCTCCTACCCCTTCCGTTCCCTCTCCCCTTCCCTTCCTGCTGCAGCCTGCCCTTTTAGTCTGTGCTCACGGAAGAGCTTACAGGACTTGGGGAGTGTACTGAAGTGAGCAGGACTGTGGCTGAGGATAGAAAAGGGATCAGGCTGGGAGGAAGCAGAGTGAGAAATTAGCTTGGGTGGGGGGGACCCCACGTGGGTGCAGTGGGCGGAAGCATGTGCAGTGTGACTTGACAGAAGCTGAAAAATCACCCCCTCACACACACACCTCCTTCCCTCCCACTCCCATCTTCTTTCTTTTCTCATCTTCCACTCCAGCTGGCCTTCTGACAGCCTAAAATGTCTCCAGTAAGGACCTTATTCATAGCCTAGGGCTGTAGCTTAGTTAGCAGAGTGCCAAGCACGCATGAAACTCCAGGGTTGATCCCCAGCACCACAGAAAGCCAGGCTAGGCAGTGCCAATGGCTCCAGCATTCCGTCCATGAAATTCAAGGTCATCCTAGTTAAGGTTCTTGTAGTTGGAAACCGGTGGGGGTGAGGGCTTAAAAGAGAGCTCTTGCCTAAAACAAACAAAACAACAAAACCACCAAAACCTTTCATTCAAATGTAAATGTTCCCGCAGAGGACATTAGCACTTCCCCAAAAGTTGCTGATCTGTATGCTCTGGCACCGAGGGAGGCAGGATCCTGATGGAGCCAGGGGAGGCACCTCAGGCGGGGGCCAGCTGTGGAAGGTCTGTGAGGGGGAAGGGCAGAGGAGCACAGTAATTTAAGCTGTACGCAATGGTATGGTGGTCAGTGGCTTAAGTGTGTCCTTGACAGTACGTACTGAGGTCTCAGTTTCCTCTTCTGCAAACCTGAGGTAATAGTCAATTCACAGGATTAGGATGTCAGGATGAGGGTGAAATACAGAGCCAGTCCTGACAATCTGTAAACACCATAAATAAAACTCTGTCCATCATTGTTTGGAATCATGTTCCCGAGTGACTGTTTGTGGGCATGCTGGTGTTGGTACACACCTAACTGTGGGCTCATGTCTGGCCACATCCCCTGGGACCCCTTGCTTTTCTTCTCTCAGCCCTTGCGTGGGCAGCTACTGCTCCATAATGTACCCTATACCTGGTGTTCAGGTGCGGTCCTAGAACATCATTCTCCTGTCAGTCTTCGCCCTTGGCAGCTGCCTTGCACTCTGCTCCAGGCCACCTTCCCTGGTAAAAAAAAAAAGGTGGCTTGACTGGCTGCTTCCAAATGCCCCGGTCTCTTATTACCCAACATCTTGCCCTTTGCCCTTCTTTCTGAGAAGCTTGTGCTTTCTCCAGAGCCTGTCTGGGTGCTGATAATCTTTTTCTTTTTTTTTTTCTCTCCCCCCCTGCTGGTGCCTCCCTGCCTTGAGTCCAGGACTTTCCTCCTTAAAGCCCCTTTTGCTGAAGCCCTGCACAAACTCCCCCCACTCCTGTGCACCAGCTCTCTCTCACTTTCCTGGGAGCCCCCTCCCCTTCCCTTCAATGTTTATTCTATAGTTATTGTGGTGTTCCAGACCCTCTGCTTTCACTCCACAAAGTGGGTTCTGGGATGACATTTGACTTTCTTTCCCTGCTAGCATTCTCATAATTAGGCTCTTACCTCTAGGCCATCAGTTTTCAACCTGTGGGTCATAACCCCCTTTCACGGGGGTCGCCTAAGATCATCTGAACATCTGATACTTACATTACAATTCATAACAGTAGCAAAATTACAGTTATGAAGTAGCAACAAAAACTAATTTTATGGTTGGGGGTCATCACAACAGGAGGAACTGTATTAACGGGTCACATTGGGAAGGTTGAGAACCACCGCTTTAAGGCCTCCAACAAGAAACTTCTCCATTCCCCCAGAGACACCACTCTCTCGACTTCCAGCAGCCCACTGCCTTATCTTGGGTGTCTGCCTCTCCACTTTTCATAGAAGTTATCTGTGGGCCGGTGCTCTTCCCAGAGGGGCCTGGATCAGTCCATTTGTCCATCTCTCTCCTCTCCATAAGGCTCGGTACCATGTTCAGTGGAGAAGAGATAATCCAAAGTGGGTGGGAGATGAGTCAGTAGCTATGAGGTGGTAGATGGGATGGATGGACAAGCATTCACCTTGTGGGCTAAGCCATAGGTACAGACCTCATGCCAATGGCTTAGCCATGGGTATAGACCTTGTGACAATGGCTAGTAGTGAAATGAAATTCAGAGCCTAGTGAGAGAGCGTTGACAGCTCTTAAATGTTTACCAGAGTGGCATTTTGCTCATCAGTCACCAGTTAAAACATTTTAGAATCAGCACTAAGAGGTCTGGAGAAGCGTGGTGCTCCAGAATGAGAATCCTGTTACCACAAACACCAGATTCCTCCTGTCTGGCTGATGGAGATGCCCTCCTTCTAGAGTTCTTTGTTTGTTTGTTTGTTTTGTTTTTTAAGACAAGGTTTCTCTGTGTAGCTCTGGCTGTCCTGGAACTCATTTTGTAGAGTAGGCTGGCCTCAGACACCGAGATCTGCCTGGCTCTGTGTGCCAAGTGCTGGGATTACAAGCTTGGGCCACCACACCTGGCCTCTGGTTCCAAAACTCTAAAAAGACTTGCATGATTTGGTAGACGCCCTGCATCAAGCAATGCACTTAACTTGAGTTATTCGACCTTGGACCAAGCCTTGGTTTCCTCATCTGTGAAATGGATCTACCCTACAGTGTTGTTGTAAGGATGAATTAGAATAATTTTTGTGTAGTGTTTATGTGTGTCTAGTGTATGGTACCCAGCACAGCTGCTTGAGAGATGAAACAGGAAAAGGCCACAAGCTAAAAGTTCTGCTGCTTGGATTATTACAGAGTGGTTCAAAAGCCAGTCTGACACCCTGTCTCAGAACAAAGAATGAGGAAAAGAAGGCTCAGGAGAGTGCAGTAAATTCGATCTCCGGCATTTGACACTCACAGAGTATCTAGCACAGAACATAAACTTACTCATCAGTGACCACTCTGGAATCACAGTTGCCCTCTGGACGTTAGCAGCCAGTTTACCTCAGGGAGGAAAACACCCTTCCTCCACTCCCACCCCCACCTGGCAGCACAGTATCAAGCCTGAAATACCACCTTCTCTGCAAAGCCACTGTTTTAGAAAGGCGTCAGCACTAGCAGGAGGCCCAAGTGGATCTAGGAGGCTGAGTGGCTGGCATGAGGAAGGCAGAGGCGGGGAGAGAGCTTTGTGGCTGTGGGCTGAGGTTGGGGAGTAGGATAAGGGCCGATGACCGTTTTGGTGACATGTGGGCTGTGGGATGGTTGAGAGAAAGTACAGGTGAAAAAGATTGGGAGAGCCAGGCATGGTGGTGCAGGCCTCTAATCCCAGCATATGGGAGCCTGTGCCCGAAATAGGAGGATTGAGAATTTGAAGCTACCCAGGGCCATGCAGTGAAACCTCAGAAAGAGAGAGAACAAGCCAGTGACCTCATTCTTTCATGACTGACTACAGAAAAGCCCCCTAAATTCACTAATCCCTGGGGAGATAGAAATACTATGAATAGCTTGCCCTTTACATGGAAGGGATCATGTTTTGTGCACTGCATATGCCCCAATTTACCTATATCTTTGGGACTGAAGAGATGGCTCAGTAGTTATCTTAAGGGAGTAGTTATGCTTTTTCAGAGGATCCCTGTTTCCTTCCTAACCTTCACATGGCCACTCATCTGTAACTCTAGTCCCAGGGGATCTGATGCCCTCTTCTGGCCTCCGTGGACACCAGGCGTACACAGTTGAACATGCTGGCTAACCACGCACCCACATAAAAATTAAATAAGTAAATACTATCAACTTGTCAGAACAGTCTTTGACAAGAACCTCTTACCATCCCTCGCTTTGTTGTAGCTGTATTAGGCAGAGTTTCACACTATAATTCAAGCTGATCAGAATGCCCTACGTAACCCACGCTGGCCTGGGATTCAGAACAATCCTCCTGCCTCAGCCTCCCAAGCGCTAGAAATGCTAGCATATACAAAGTGTAAATGACTTACCCAAGACCACACAGCGTCTGAGTAGTACTTACTGCTTCAGCCCATGCACCCTGGCTTAAGAGTTTCTGCTTGATACTACCCCAGGATCCTACTCCAGTTCCTTCTGTACACAGCTGTCCTCACTCTGTGGCGTCCAGGGCCAGCGGTGGGAAGACAGGAAAGGAAGATAGCTGAGGGAGTGACCAAGAAGGCGAGGATGTGGGCTCTGGTCACCACCTAGCACATAGACTAGCCTAAGTTCCTAGGAACAGAGTGGCAATGGGGACCAACCAGGGAGCAGTGTGGCAGCCCCTGAGACTATTCTGGGCGCTCTGTGGCAGCAAAGATGTGGCCCAGGCCCTAGAGGTGTTTTAGAGTGTCTACAGAAGACACTGCCAGCCTGTAGGGAGCAGAGAAATTCTGAGGCCCAGCAGCAGGCCATAGCTTCATCAACCCACCCGATCCCCCTCTCCTCCATCGTGTGTTTTCTTCCACGGCCTCTGACTCCTTAAGCTTCAAGTCTTAACTAATGACTCAGTATCTCCTTGTTAACCTTCCGGGGGTGGGGGGGATGAAGAGGTAGCTGAGCAAACTGTGGAAGAGTGGAATCAGTGGCTGGGATGGGAGGGGCCATCACGGCTTGGGAGAAGGCCCAGGCCAGAGCAGGGCAGGGCAGGAGCGACAAGCTTGGGAATATAGAAGCCTGTCCACCCTGGGATGCCGGCTGACCCCTGCCGTCATTTCCTCTGGAACCAGAGAACAATGGTTTAAAAAACAAGGCCAGCCGATCCGCATAGCCGCTGCCTGGCCGCACGCACGCACAACTCCCCGGTGCAGAGCCCAGCGCCACGGAACCTGGCAGGCTAACGCCCTCGCGGCCGCTCTCTGTCCTTCCAGCCACCCGCGGTCAGCAGCCCAGAGAGGCCCAAGGGATGAGGAGACCACAGCGCGCTGCGACGCCCTTGCTGCAGGAGCCGGGCCGAGCCTGACGTCCGTTCTCTCTACGCGCGCACCGGCCTCCAAGGGAGCAGCCGGCCAGTGGGGGCCGCATGGAACGTCTGCAGAAGGTGAGCGGGATTTTGCACCCCGGGCCTAGGTGGGGACCGCTGCCCTCCCAGGCCAGCTCGGGAGTCGCCGGCGCCACCTGGTGGCCACCTCCACGCAGCACTCCGGGTTCCCCCACCCCACCCCATCCTGAGACCTAAGGCAAGACCTACGCCCACACCCTCGCACCCACGCACATGCCCACTCTGCCACCTTCTCGCTCTCTCCAGCAACCTCTTACCTCCCCGGGGAGCGTCAGCTCCTCCAGAGACTCCAGTGTGCCCGGCTCTCCCTCCAGCATCGTGGTGAGTATCTCGGTTGCCCGACCACCTGCACCTTAGCTGGGAGGAGGGAAGGATGGGCTCTCCTTTACCCCTCCCTATTACCCCCCTCCCCACTCCCGCATGGAGGGAGGTCCTGTAAACTCTTGCAGGTGGAAAGACGCAGAGATCCCAGAGGAGGCCCACTGCTGCCTTGGAAAGGGCTGGTCTAGTTGCGAAAAGCCTCAGAGGCAAAGGGCTTTTTTTTTTTTTTTTCTTAAGAGACCTTCTAGAGCAGCGAGCATGGTGGTGAGGCAAGCTTATAGTCCCAGCATTTAATAAATAGAAACAGGAGGGTAAGAAAGATCAAGGCCAGCTACAGCTGCAGAGAAGGTTTAAGGCAAGCCTTGACTAGATGAAATACTGTCTCAAAAATTAAGTGCTCATTCTAGATCCTTAAAAGTTACAGGATAGAGTTGTTGATGTGAGAACTGACATCTGAAATTTTCTCTTGGTAACCAAGTCCAACCAGTGAGGCCGGTGACCTTAGAGGTTCTATGGGAAACTCTGTTCCATTTGGACTATTTCTCTTCAGGCCAAGATGGACAACCAGGTGTTGGGCTACAAAGACCTGGCTGCCATCCCCAAGGACAAGGCTATCCTGGACATTGAGAGACCTGACCTCATGATCTACGAGCCTCATTTTACCTATTCCCTCCTGGACCACGTGGAGCTGCCCAGAAGCCGAGAGGTAAGAAGAAGTCATTTGTGCAGGCCTGAGGGTGGTTGGGGATGATCCCCCTGGCAGTCCTTGGAGGCAGAAACAGGCTATACCCAGGAGTGAGCCCATGTTTGATCATGGTGGCATACGCCTTTAATCCTGGCACTGAAGAGGTAGAGGTATGAAGATCTCTAAGTGTTGGAAGCTAGCCTGGTCTACCAAGTGAGTTCTAGGCCAGCAAAAAGGCTACCCAGTGAAACCCTATCTCAAAAAAACAACAACAACAAAAGCAAGGATAAAAAAAGAAAGAAAGGGGTTAAGGCTTGGGCTGGCCAGGAGGCTCAGTGGGTAAAAGCTCTTGCATGCATGCAAGCCTGGTGAATTAAGTGGGATCCCTTGTTCTCTGACCTCCACAAGGTAGTGGCATATATATGCACATACTCACACGAAGTAATAATTAAAACAGAGTTTGAATTTAAGGGAAAGAAAGAGGTCATATTGGGGTGAGCAGGCTGTCAGACTGGAAAACTTAAGTACCAGGGAGCCAAGGAGAACTGATTCCATCATGGCTGTTTGTTGGTCTGGTCCCTCCATTCCTTGCCTGGCTCTGACATCAGGGTCACACTTAGTTACTGGCTGACCCTCAGGGTGTGAGGCACGCTGCTCCCGGATCTGAACTTCATAGGAAGAAGGACTAGGAAAACAGTGGGCAGAGGAAGGATGAAGGGCAGGCCAGAGGTCGGCAGGCACTCGGGAGGGAAGAGGACTGGCTGGGAAAGTAGGTGAAGCTGGATAGCTGGGGTGAAATGGTCCCTCTGAGGTGAATTCTACCTCTGACTGATCATCCCCTCCATTCACAGTGCTCACTGTCACCCAAATCCACATCTCCCCCACCATCCCCAGAGGTAAGTCTTTGGTTGGCTCTAGTTCTTCTCTGCTTGGGCCCCCAGCTCCCCTCCCCCAACATGCCCAGCCTCAGCTTAGCAAAGTCTGGGGCATGACAGAATCAGCAAATCCTGGCTGGTTGGTCACTGGCCAGCTCATCTGGCTGCCAGACCCAGGGCCTCCTTTAACCCTTGCTCTCTGGGTAAGCACCCTAAGCAGGTGGGTGGAGTCCTTGAATGTACTTCCTCTGCCGTGGGGTTGGGGTTGGTATAGGGGGATATGAAAGGTGATCTGAAGTAAAGCTAGGCACATGGGAGTAGGAAGGGGCATGGAAGTGGGATGGGGCTAGAAGCTCCATACTTCTCCATAGGTCTGGGCAGAGAGCCGGACGCTTGGCATCATCTCTCAGGCTTCAACACCGAGGACCACAGGGACCCCCAGGACCAGCCTGCCCCATTTCCACCACCCCGGTAGGTTTTATTGTCAGCCTAGCTATGCTGTTTCCTGAGACTTCATTTTTCCTTCAGGATCCCATATCCCTTACTCTCAGTCCCGACTCTTTGGGTTTAGAACTAGATGGACCTATGGTACCAGGATGCCAGGCAGAACTAACAGTGATAATGGTCTTGTTATGTCTTTCCACTCACTCATCCGGAAAAGTCCAGGAAGTCCAATTTCATGAGGCAAAGTTCCAGCTGTCTTGCTCATGGCCCCATCTTGTGTATCTCCACTCTGTTTCTGGACCCACCATCCCCTGCCATCATGTCCCCTTTCTCTCCCTCAGAGACTACCCGCCCAGATTCCAACATCTATAAGAAGCCACCCATCTACAAGCAGAGAGGTGAGGGTTCCCCTGACTTCCCCGGGTGCTTCTCCCGCCACATACTGTGGGGCAGTGCCAGGTGCTGAGATCCGGGGAGGGATGGAAGGATGATGTTATGACCTGTAAGGCCCGTTCCATCTGAATTCTCACAGATGTGAAGGGAGAGGTGAGGGAGCTGGGGCTGAAGGTGGGCCAAGCTGGCTGGCTGCATGCTTAGCTGGGGTGGTGTGTAGACTGACCCTGGGTCCATCTGCAGAATCCACGGGAGGCAGCCCTCAGAGCAAGCACCTCATCGAGGACCTCATCATAGAGTCGTCCAAGTTCCCCGCGGCACAGCCCCCCGACCCCAACCAGCCAGCCAAGATAGAGACTGACTACTGGCCGTGTCCCCCATCGCTGGCCGTTGTGGGTAGGAAAAACTGGGGAAAGGAGAGAGAAGGGGCTATAATCCCTGTTTACTCCTCTTTCTTGGTCCTGTGAACCCAGTTCATGCCCACCCCATGCCCTATTACTTCTCCACCTTTTGTACTTTGACTTGATAGTTCATTACTTATCTCTCCCCTGTACCTCTTTGCTGCTCAGGGCCTATCTGTTAATCATATTTTCCTTCCTTGCTAATTTTTTATTTTTATTATTATTATTATTATTGGTTTTTCGAGACAGGGTTTCTCTCTGTAGCCTTGGCTGTCCTAGAACTCGCTCTGTAGACCAGGCTGGCTTTGAACTCAGAGATCTGCCTGCCTGGGATTAAGTGCTGGGATTAAGGGCGAGTTCCACCATGCCTGGCGCTCATTATTATTTATTAAGGTTTTATTATATTTGAACTATGTGTACATGTGCGTATGTTTGTGGGAGGATATGTGCATGCAAGGCAGTGCCTGGGAGGCTTAAGGATCGCTCTGGAGCTGAAGTTACAGGAGGTTGTAAAACACTCCGTGTAGGTGTTGCAAATGGAACTCGGGTCCTCGGGACGATCAGTGCACAGCCTTAACCACTGAACCATCCCTCCAGCTCCTGTTCATTATTCAGTCACTTGAGAGACATCTCTCAAGCTTCTGCTATGGCCCACGCCCTGTGATAGGAGATTTAGAAAATAGAAAATAAATGACAGAAGGTCTTGGTTCCCAGAGAATTTAAATACATGTTTCTTACCTAGTTTATTAGTTTTTTAATTCTTACTGTCATGTTATTAATATTATTAGTGTTGCAGCTGAGGACTGTTCTAGGCCTTCTACACATTAATTTATTACCACTAAGTTATATGCATCTCAGCTCTGCACTTTGGGTGTTTTTATTTGCTTTTTAAAGATTTATTTATTTTTATGGGCATTGGTGTTCTGTCTGCATGTCTGCAAAGGTGCCAGATCCTCTGGAACTGGAGTGACAGACAGTTGTGAACTGCCATGTAGGTGCTGGGAATTGAACCCAGGTCTTCTGGAAGAGCAACCAGTGCTCTTAACCTCTGAGTCATCTCTCCAGCCCCCTAATTTTTTTTTTCAAATCTTTAAAAAGAGGTTTATTTCTAGTTTATCAGTGTTTTCCTGTATGTATGTATGTATGTATGTATGTATGTATGTATGTATGTATGTTTTCCTGCGTGCATGTATGTATGTATGTATGTATGTATGTATGTATGCATGTACTAGTGCTCAGGGAGGCCAAAAGAGGGTGTCAGCTCCCCTGGAACTGTAGTTACAGACAGTTGTGAGCTGCTACGTGGGTGCTGGGAACCGAACCCAGGTCCTCTGCAAGAGCAGCCAGTGCTTTTAAATGATGAGCCATCTCTCTAGCCGCTGTATTCCATACTTTTTTGTTTGTTTTTAATAGAATTTGTAGGGCAAAGCATGGGGGCACATGACTATACCACAGCTACTTGGGAGCCTGAGACAGAAAGGTTACTTGAGCCCAGGAGTTCAAGGCCAGTGTGGGCAGGTGACATTGCAAGGCCCTGTCTCAATTTTTTGTGGATTTTTGTTTGTTTGTTTGGGTTTTATTGTTTTGTTTTTTTTTTTTTTCAAGACAGGTTTGTCTGTGTAGCCTAGGCTCTGGGGACCAACAAGGCCAGCCTGGTCTACAGAGAGAGTTTCAGGACAGCCAAGGCTACACAGAGAAACCTTGTCTCTGAAAACAACAACAACAAAAATATATATAGTAGTGTTCTTTTTGAGGTCTATCCCTGTTCCGCATAGGGAGAAGCCAGTGTCTAAGTGGCTACATTGATTTGTGGGCTTATGTCTCATAGAGACAGAATGGAGGAAACGGAAGGCATCTCGAAAGGGGGCAGAAGAAGAGGAGGAGGAGGAAGATGATGACTCTGAAGAGGAGATTAAGGCCATCAGGGAGCGGCAGAAAGAGGAACTCAGTAAGGTATCATCTTGCTCCCCAGGCCCATGTCACCTAGGTGACAAATGTTCAGGCCCCATAGCTCATCTAAAAGGCTTGAGCCACAGAAGCAACTGCATTTGAACAGGTGGGAGGTGCCTCTCCTTTCCCAGGATTCCAGGTACACCCGGGCTTTAGGCTGCCTTTGGAGCAGTGCTTCTGGACATTCAGATTCAAAGCACAGGAAAGGCAGGGTCCATCAGCACCAGGTCTCAGCAGGCTAATTAAGAGAAGGAGAGAGAATTAGGAGTTGTGGAAGGGCTATTGGCTGTACTGTTGGCGTAGTGACCTGGAATAGAAAAGCCACCATGTAAGGGTACCACTGAACATCTCCAACACACCTAAGGTGGTTGAACAGTCAGTAAGATGAAGGAGCTCCAGCTGTGGAGTAGCCACCTGGGAAGCCACTGCTGGTCCTCCTGGATTGTACCCGAGCTTTGCCCTTTCCAGAGATGGGAACCTGGTGTTTCAGGCTTGGCTCCATTCACCTCCCTCCTTCAAACAGGTTACTTCCAACTTGGGAAAGATGATCTTGAAGGAAGAGATGGAGAAGTCATTGCCGATCCGGAGAAAAACACGCTCTCTGCCTGACCGGACACCCTTCCATACCTGTGAGTGCTATGGGGTAGGCTCAGCATCATCTGGCCAGAGGTGGGGGTGGGGAGGAGGGATGTGTGTGTGGCTATTGAACCACTATAGTTAAAAGATTCCGTCAGGGTGTGGGGCCCAAATGTGTGTTCCCCGAGGGCAAGAATATGAACTGGTAGATAGAACCGATAGAGAACAGCATTACAAGCAGGGTGAGAGCCCTGGCTTCATTTAATGGACACTTACTGGGGGACATGCTAAGCACTGCGGACATCACGGGTGAAAAATACACCCATTTCCTCCAGACAGGGGGAAAGTGACGTGTAAATCTACCTGGCTTTTGGAGCAGTGTGGCAGGTGATGGGGACAGAGTGTCAGTGGGGACTTTGAGAGCCCAGTGAGAAGGCCTGGTGGGCTCCTCTGTCTTAGAGAAGGAGACAAATAAATGGTGCAAAAGGTCCTTACAAATGTCAAGAACCATATGGGAGCAAAGGCAGGGAGCTTAAACCAGTGTGGCAGCTCAGAGCATGGGGAACCAAGTACCATGCAGTGAGGCAGAGAAATAGGTGAAGGGGGCCTTGAGTGCTAGGCCTCTGGGTACTCCAAGTCTAGCCTGGACTTCTTAAGAGCCTGGTAGTTGGAGAGGAGAGGGACAGAGATAAAGGTCCCAAGAGAGAGCTATGAGAACTCTTAAAACCTGGCCTTAGAAGTCATGCCCATCCTTTTTTTTTTTTTTTTTTTTTTTCATTCTGTTGGTCAGAGCAAGACACCAAAGCTGGCATGGTGGCATAAGTTTAATCCCAGAACTGGGAGTCTAGCCTGGGCTAGAGAAAAAAAAGGGGGGGGGCCTATCTTAGTCACTGTACTATTGCTGTGAAGAGACACCATGACCACAGGGTTTACTTACTACTTCAGAGGCTTAGTCCATTATCATCATGGCAGGTAGCATGGAGGCATGACACTGGAGCAGTAGTTGAAAGCTACATCCTGATCCATAAACAAAGAAAGAGAGCCTAGCCCTGGCATAGGCTTCTGAAACCTCAGAGCCATCCCTATGACACACTTTCTCTAACATGGCTACACTTCCTGATCCTTCTAATCCTTTCCGACAGTGCTACTTTTTGGTAACTAGCATTCAAATACATGAACCAATGGGAGGGGGTGATTCTTATTCAAACTACTACAGACCCTATCTCCAAAAGAAACACGAAAAAGTAGGTTTCCTAGAGATTAAACTAGACTCAAGGTGGAAATAGGTTTCATTGCAAAAAGCAAGCAAGATATATGTATCAGAGTTGCAGGTCATCTTTGGAAACAATATTCCATACTTGCTTATAGTTGAACATACTAGTCAGTCTTCTGTCACTGTATGGAAATATCTGGACAGGATTTGTGGAGCAGGCCTGTAATTAGAGCTGCTGAGGAGGCTGAGGCAAGAGAATTGAGAATTGGCTATCTGGGCATAGTGGTTCATGCCTTTAATCCCAGTACTTTATAGGCAGAGGCAGGCAGATCTCTGTGACTTCAAGGCCAGCCTGGTCTACAGAGAGAGTTTCAGGACAGCCAGGGCTACATAGAGAGAGATCCTGTCTCAAAAATGAAAAACAAAAAAGAAAAGAAAGAAAAAGTTTAAGGTCTAGCAAGGTTTCAGAGTGAGTCAAAGTCTAGCCTGGACAACTTAGTAGACTCTGTTTCAAAATACAAACCTCTGTTAGAGCAGGGATGGTGAGATGGCTCAGCAGTTAAGAGCACTGGTTTCTCTTCCAGAGGACCAGGATTCAATTTCCAGTACCCACATATCATCTCACATAGGGTTTACCTTAGATAGACCTGAGACAACTTCCCCTCATCCTTCTTCTCCTTTTCCTCCTCCAGAACTCCAGTTCCAAGAGATCTGACACCCTTACACAGACATGTATGCAGGTAGAACACTAATGGACGCAAAATAAAAGTAAATAAACCACTTAAACAAACAAACAAAAACCATTAAAGCCTGATTTGGTGGTACGCACCTTTACTCTCAGTGCTCAGAAGCAGACACTGGTAGATCTTTGTGAGTTCAAAGTTATCATGACCTAAATAGTGAGTTCTAAGCCAACCAGAGCGACATAGTGAGACCCTGTTAAAAAATTACTTGTTTTGTCTGCATGTTTGTGTACTTTGTGTGTGCTTGGTACCTACAGAGGCCAGGATAGGGTCTCAGATTCCTCAAGGACTTCATGGTTGTGAATTGCCACTGAGCATCTCTCTAGTGTCAAGTTTGGACATTTTTTTAAAAGGTTTTATTTTATTTTTGTGTACACGCATATGCACATTAGTGCAGTGCTGTGGAAGCCAGAGGCATTGGTCTGCTCTGGAGCTAGAGTCAGAGGCTGTTGTGAGCCATCACTTGTGGGTACTGAGGAACAAATTTAAGTCTTCTGCAAAAGCAGTATGTGCTCTTAGCCATGGAGCCCTCTAGACATCCTTTCTTTAAAAAAGTTACTTAGTTATTTATAGTGCGTGCGTGCGTGCGTGTGTGCGTGTGTGTGTGTGTGTGTGTGTGTGCGTGTGTGCGTGCGCGCACGCCCATGTGTGCTCAGTTCTCTTTTTCTACTTCTATGTGGGTTCAAGGACTTGACATTGTTAGGGCTGCAAGACATTTGCATTTACCCCTTCAGCCATCTCTCTGGCCCTGTTTCTACCTTCTTAACAGCTCATAATTTTTTTGAAGCCTTGCAAAATGCTGAAGCCATATCCTAAGGATAATGCATCTTTTTGGATTCAGAGAGGAGGGGATAGAGCTGAGAAACGTAGAGATCAAATCCACTGAAGAGAATCCTATGAATCCTATGAATCCATTAGAAGGGGTGTGAGAGAGATATCAGGGATTTTATCCATGTAGAACATATGGTTGGGAACTGAGTTTGGCAAGACAGAAGCTGGAGGGTTGACATGTCTGGGAAATGGGAAGAAAAAGGTAGATGACTTACGGAGAAAGGAAAGGAAAGCTAGGTAGCCAGGCCTGCTACCCGAGTGCCTTAGGTATCAAGTTTAGTAATGATCGATGTGTTCAAGGGGTACATAGAGAGACTCTGTCATTAAAAAAGGAAAATCTAACCAGGTGTGGTGGCCCACGCTTTTAATCCCAGCACTGGGGAGGCAGAGGCAGGTGGATCTCTGTGAGTTCAAGGCCAGCCTGGTTTACAAAGCAAGTCCAGGACTGCCAAGGCTACCTAGAGAAACCCTGTCTTGAAAGAACAAACAAACAAAAAATTTAAAACAAAAGCAAAATTTAGTGTATCTAGTGGGAGGAGCCCAGCATTTTGGGAGGTGGCCATGAAAGACCTCCTCCATTGAAGGAAGGACTAGGGTTGCTGAGGCAGAGGACAGCAAGGCTTGACAGGCTGGATTGCTTGTTGGGAGTATTGTAAGGTCTTACCTTGTGGTGATGCGAATCCATCACTGTGGGCGTAGGAGAGGGGATGTGGTCTGATCCAGTTCTAGTGTTTGGTAAGGAAAGGTGCTGAGCGACTGCAGTGCCAGGCAGCGGGCTCCAGGGCATAAGTCTTTGGAAGGGTGTAGAAGATAGGGAACAAAGGAACACACCAGGACTAGGAATGTATTTAGTTATTTGCTTTGGTTTGGAGGGGGGATGGTTGTTTGGTTGGTTGGAGGAAATCTTAGGTAGCTGAGGCTAGCCTCAGACTCTATTTTGCTTGATGGCCTTGAGCTCTCTATCCTCCTGCCTTGCCTCATAAGTGCTGGGATTGCAGGCCTTTGCCGCCACATCCAGGACTGAAGGGCCAGTAAAGTGGCCACGGCTAGGATGCATGAAGAGCAACCAAAGTTCAGGCGTGGGGTGGGCGGGAAGATTATAAAGTCTGTAGCTGAGGCCTGGAGAATGAGTGATGAGAAACTGTCCCAAGAGCTGGATTCAGTTTCAGTGTTCCAGATTCTTCTATTCGGCTTAAAGAGATGAGCCCTTTTCCGAGGTGATTCTAGGTAGTGTCAGGTTGCATAAAAACAGCCAGCATGCATTCTGAAAGTGATCTGGAGTGAAGAAAATTTTATTTATTTGTTTATTTTGAGACAGAGTTTCTTTTCATAGCCTTGGCTGTCCTGAAACTCACTCTGTAGACCCGGCTGGCCTTGAACTCACAGAGATCCACCTGCCTCTGCCTCCCTAGTGTTGGGATTAAAGGCATACTCCACCACTGCCTGGCTTCTGGAGTGAAAAAAAAAATGTTGTATGTACTTGATATATTATAATTCTGTCAAAGTATAAATGTTCTTTATTATTGTAAGTATATGACATACCTCGGGAATGAATGGTGACTAGAGAACTTGACTTTCTTTTTGACCCCCCCCCCTCGGGCCCCTTTAGTGGGCTCTGGGAATCCAAACTCAGGTCCTCATGTGTTCCCAGCAAGCATTTAACCCTGAGCCATCTCCCCAGTCCTGAGAGCTGCTGATTTTTTGTGCAGGCTCTTTAGCCCCCATTCAACATGCTGAGGATTTATAGGCTTTCACTTTTTAAAGATGGTTTTGATTTATTTCCTGGATTTTAGATTTGAATAAACTTTACCAAATTGGAGACCCCAATTTGGTAAAATGCAAAATCTGAAACAAATACTTCCAAATCCCAAACCAAGAGCCATATCGACAAGACTGAAGAAGTTTGGAATCCAGCACAGACTGGATTTCAGATTTTGAACTTTCAGTTTAGAGATGCTAAATTTATTTGAGAATAAGTGTTAGGCTCCCAAACCTGTTTTGTTCTCACCTACTAAACTTCCAGTAGACTTCAGAGGACTGATGCTATGGTGTTGAATCTACCTACACTAAACATTTAACAAAATGCCTGTCAAAGCAACTGCAATAGAATGGCAACCATTTCTAATAACTGGAGACAAAAGGGCTTTGAGGCTGGCCCACACTAAGAATGGTAGTCTCTATCTGGGCATGGTGGTGAACACCTTTAATCCCAGCATTCAGGAGGCAGAGGCAGGCATATCTTTGTGAGTTTGAGACCAGCCTGGCCTACAAAGGGAGTACTAGGATACCCAGGGCTACACAGAGAAACCCTGTCTCAAAAAACAACAAACAAAAGAAGAATGGTACTTTCTAGATGTGGTGGCACATGTCATAATCTCAGCACTTGGGAGGCAGAGGCAGGCAGATCACTGAGTTCCAGGCCAGCCTGGTATAGAAAACAAGTTCCAGGGCAGCTGGGTTGTTATACAGAGAAACCCTGTCTCAAAACAACAACAAACACTTTCAGGAAAACAATATTGAAAACTAATCTCTGGGAGGGTTCGACAGGGAAGAGGGAGGGTACTACAACTGGGATATAAAGTGAATTTTAAAAATAGTGTGAGGGGCTGGAGAGATGGCTCAGTGGTTAAGAGCACTGTCTGCTCTTCCCAAGGACCCAGGTTCAATTCCCAGCACTCACATGGCAGTTCCTAACTGTCTATAACTCCAGTTCAAGGTGGTCTGACACCCTCAAACCAATGCACATAAAATAAAATTAAATAAATTAAAAAGTGTGAGATAAAACAGGAAAAAAAAGAAACTAATCTCTGTAATTATAACTTGTAGTGTTAAAAAGTCTAGTGATTTTATAAAAAGACACAAGTTGAAAATGATCTCCAGTAATGCAAATAAAAGTGTGTGTGTGTGTGTGTGTGTGTGTGTGTGTGTGTGTAATTACACGGTATGCAGGTATGTGCATGTGTGGAGGCCAGAGGAAGACACTATTGCTCTCCACCTTACATGAAATGGAAACTACTAGACTGGCAGTGATCCCCCTGTCTCTACCCTGCACAGTGCTGTGGTTACAGGCGCACACATGTTCTGCTTTTCATGTGTGTGCGAGGCTCTGCATATTTGCAAAGCAAACCTTCTTACCCCCTGAGCCAGCTCCATGGGAAATATCTTGACTGCATTCGCTGTGCTAAGACATAACTGTGTCTGAACAATAATATCAAGTGTCCAGAATTTGACTGCTGTTAGCACCGTTGTCCTAACTTCAAGATTTCGCTTAGAGCTTTCATGCATTTGTAGATTTAGCGCTTCATGATGACTCCTAGGACTTATTTCATGGCGGCCAGCCTCAGCCTTGCCTGGGATTCACACTAGGCTTTTGGCTCACTTCTAGTCAGAGAGAAGAGGGAAGATGGAGACACAGCAAAGCCGCACACAGTCGTTGGAAGTCCATACTGGCTTCTGGCCAGGGAAGGCCGTGGAGGCAGCCCTCTTAGGAAGGCCTGTCAGGGTCAAGGGACTGAACCTGGGCCCTCTTCCTCTCTTTCAGCCTTGCACTCGGGGACATCTAAATCCTCTTCTCTTCCTTCCTATGGCAGGACAACCCTGAGCCGGGTAAGGCCTTAGGACCAAGCAGGGGCTGAATGGGAGAGGTGTGTGTGCTTCAGGGGAGGGAGACAAGAACAAGGAGGTCTTGGGTAGTGGGGAGCCCTCAGAGTAAGGGAGACTGCTGAGGGTTGCCCTTGCCTTCCTCTGACCTCTTCGTATTGTTTCCTAGCTACAGTCCACGGAATTCAGCCCGTCGGGGAGTGAGGCTGGGAGTCCAGGTGGGTAGTGGGATACACACGTCTGCCACTGGGACGGGGACTGGGCGGGGGCCCCTCTACAGACTTCATAGGCAGCCCGTGTTCAATGTGGGCAGTGGTCTGCTTAAGATCAGGTGAGGGTGCACCTTCTGGAGTGGTCTCTAAATCATGGCTCTTGTCTCCTTAGGCCTGCAGGTGAGCGCCCCCTGGAGGGGAGCAGGAGAAGTACAGGAAGCCAGGGCCGGGAGTGGGTACTGGTGGGGGAGAAGGTATGGGGCTCCTGGTTGCCTGGTGAAGACTGAAGACGCCTAGGGTAAGGCTGGGAAGGTCTCCCTGACCCACTCTGGCTCACTGCGGCTTTGGTCTCCCCAGAACGGAGAGGGCCAGAGGGGGAGGATGGATCGGGGGAACTCCCTACCCTGTGTGCTGGAGCAGAAGGTGAGGGCAGGGGACCTGACCACCACAGGTGGGGTGGGCTTCAAGGGGGGTGGTGAAGCCCACCAAGCTGAATGCGCTCAGGGTGCTCCTGGAGGTGACAGAGGAGGGGTGGGAGGCAGCAGGGAGGCTGAGATGAATGGCAAGATGGCATGAATCCCAGTGGCCTCTGCAGGTTGCAAAGGGGACCTGGGGAGTCAAGAGGGTTATGCAGACAGGAGGCTGTGAACCTAAGAGGGCCCTCTCTGCCTCTCCAGATCTATCCCTATGAGATGCTGGTGGTGACCAACAAGGGGCGAACCAAGCTGCCTCCTGGTGTGGACCGCATGAGGCTGGAGGTATGCAAGAAAGTTGCATGGCAGCCGGGCACGGTGGGGCCTGTGATCCCAGCAGGCAGGGAGGCGGAGGCAGGCAGATCTCTGTGAGTTCGAGGCCAGCCTGGTCCACAAAGCAAGTCCAGGACAGCCAAAGCTACACAGAGAAACCCTGTCTAAAAAAAAAAAAAAAAAAAAACATGGCATGGGCGACCCAGTGGGCTTGCCTTTGATTTTGAGGCTGTAGAAACCTACCTCCTTAGTCACTTAGTCACCATGTCCCCACAGAGGCATTTGTCAGCAGAGGACTTCTCCAGGGTCTTCGCCATGTCTCCAGAGGAGTTTGGCAAGCTGGCCCTATGGAAGCGGAACGAACTCAAGAAGAAGGCTTCCCTTTTCTGACATCCCGGCCGGCTCGCTCTGTCGGTGACAGCACCTTCCCTCTGCTGCTTCAAGGCCCTGAAGCTGGGGCTGTGAGACCCCAGAGCATCCTCTTCCTCTGCTGGCTGGGAGCAGCAGGAGGCAGGGCAGAAGCGTTGGGCTCCATTCCTCAGGGAGAGAGAGAGCCAAGAAGTGCACAGGCCCAGAGCCATGAGGCGCGGACTTCCTTCCCCACGATGGGCCAGGGGGCCTTACCTTTTTTCCCTGGGCTCCACTGCCTAGCCAAACCCAGCCGGGACTCCAGCACACAGTCATTGTTTGCACTCCTTCCCTGTCTGTCGCCCGCCCGACCTGAAGGTTCCCAGAAGGTGAGGAGAAATGAAGAGGGACACTTAGTGGTGAGGTCTGTCTTGCTATCCTGTACAGGGGGTAGACTTGGCCAGGAAGTGGCAGCTCTGGGACCCTGTGCCTGTCCACCCAAAGGCTCCAGCTGGCTGCACTCCTGACTGCTCCCTGCATCTGGGCCTGATGCTTCTCTGACTGGCAGAAGCAGGCTCTACCTGGGCCTCCAGATGGGAGGTCATCCTCCCTCCAGCTTGTCTGTCCTGTACTTTGCAACCCCTAAGCTTCAAGCCTCTTGCTCAAGATCCAGGACCTATTTAAAGCTGTGGCTAAGAGCAGAGCCGCTATTCACACAATGCCTCACCGCCACCAGCCTCCAGGCAAAACCAGCTAGGATGCACCCTTCTATCCCCTATCCGGGGACCACTGAGCCCAGGCCTCAGCCTTCCTAGCCCATGGCCTAGCTTGGGGCACTTGAGAGTCCAGGCTCCCAGGTCCCCCCATTGCCATGCATCCCCTACTGTGCTCTCTTCAGAATGTAATTTATTGGGGCACCCTCTGCTGCTTTCCTTTCCCAACTCCCCGCCCCACCTAACTGCACTCCCAGTCCCCATCTCTCCACATATGTATGTGTACATAATTATACATATATATATATATATATATACATATATATATTTTGCCCAGGTCTGGGTTTTGTTTTTACCCAGATCCTGGCACTCCCTTGTCCACTGTGTGTGTGTGATCATGCCGGGAGGGGTAACTGCTTGGAATTAAAGGTTGCATTGGGTCCCTAAATCTATAATCTATTTGTCTCCATCCCCCCCCCGCATTACAATCGAATCCATGCCCCTGCATATTTCACAAAAACACTCTACCATAACCAATATTCTTAACTCTTTAGAAGTTTTTTGTTTTGTTTTTTTTTTTTTAAATTTTGAGACAGACTCTTTTTGAGTTGACCAGACTGGTCTTGAGAACTCACTCAGTGGCCCAGGAAATTTTGATCTTGCTTCAGTATCGAGTAGCTAGGAATATATAGCTAGTCATTTCTTTTTTGTTGTTGTTGTTTTATTTGAGTTAAGGTGTCCTATAGCAAACACTAGCCCAGAGCTTGCCACATCACCAAGGCTGGCCTTGAACTCCTGATCCAGCTTTTGCTTTCCAAGTGCTGGGATCACAGGCATACACCACATGTTTGTGGGTTTTGTTTGACTCACATAGTTGACCTCAAACTTACTGTATATACGAGGTTGAACTTGCAATCCTTCTTGCCTCTGCCTTGCAAGTGCTGGAATTTCAGGCATGCACCAACAGGTATGGTTTATTTAGCTCTGGGGTTTGAACCCAGGCCTTCTTGCTTGCTAGGTGTGTGCTCTACCAATTGCACAACATCGATAACCCACATTTAATTCCTTATATGCCACCAGGTCTGAGCCAGAGGGACAGGTGACACCAGGTTGAGAAAGCCACGGGAAGGAGGTTTCACACGAGCTAGAGGGGGCGGAGAGAGTGCTCATAGTAACTTTCCTTTCTCTAGGACACGGGAGCAAGGGCTGGCCCAGACAGAGTGCTGTTTGCCACTTCTCCAGGGGCTCCACGACACAGAAACCTGTGTTTCAAGGTTAGAGGGAACTTGAGAGGCAGGGCACAAAGGACCCAGGGTGCTTGTGCAGTGGGGAAGCTGAACAGAAAGTGTTATCAGTAGGTGGTAAGGGGACTACCAAGCATCAGGCAGAGGAAGCAGGGATGAAGAACTGGTGACTGAAAAACGAGAGTGAGGGTCAGGTGGAGTCAGGGAAGGTTGTGGTGACTCTGCCTTGGCGAGGCCTTCCATGTGCAACCACCATGGAGCTGCACGCCCAAGGGGGGCTGAGTGTGCAGTTGGATCTGAAGATGTGGGAAGAGGACCGGCTGGCCAAAAAGCGAATAGAATATTCCAAACTAAACAGTCATTGTATCGCTACTTGAACTGGATTTATAGCTGAAGACTACTTTGGATCGCATCCTCCTGTTTTCACTTCCTGAGTGTTCACTTGACAGCTGCATGCCATCATAGCTGGTTGAGTCGGGGCTGGGGAGCAACCCAGGCTTTGTGTATGCTAGGTTGACAGTCTTCCGAATGAGCCACAGTCCCAGCCCCTGAGCAACGGTTTGAAGTAAAGTTGTCTTCTGTCTACAGCACTGTTTTATTCTGGAAGCAAACCTGTGAGGCCAGTAGGACAGACTGTTTGACTCCTTTCAACAGATGAGAGAACATTTTACCTGAAACCCAAAGCTACATAAAACCACTGAGTACAAAATGTATGTGCATGGCAGGGGGTGGGAAGACAGTTTCCTCACTTTTAGGAGGAGGGCTTTCAGGAAAGTGGTCACCACTGGGGATCAAACCTGGGGTCTCGGGCATGCTAGACAAGGACCCTCCTAAGGAGCTACACCTGCAGCTGCTCAGCACTGGAGATGTAGAGCTATTTCTCTGGGGAAGCAGGACTGGGCTCCCCACAAGGTACCAGACATCCATGGACTGTGTGGAGGTGTGCTTGTGCGGACCCTGTCCACATGGAACGCACAGGCCACTGCAGAGTATGTCAAGTTCACTGGCTACCAAGGGAAACAACATATGATCAGATGGACTGGAAAGGTTTGTGGTGGAACACATTTTGACACTAAGTCCTAAAAGATTTGAAACTCCCGAGAATTTAGAATCCTTCAAAGGGAGGCTCTCGGCCCCCTAAAACAAAGCCTTAGGAGGTGTCCTTCATGCTTCCTTCTCACAACACACACAAAGATGTAGAAGCTGGGAGACGCTATTCTAGTTGTTTCCAAAGCTTTTGTTTCTGGTTTGAATTGCATTTCACCATTTAGAATCGCAAGCCAAGGCCTTAGAATGCAGCACAGTTGGAAGAGTGTTTGCTTCCCATGCAGGGGCCCTGGGCAGTCTTGTTAGCAGTAAATAAGCCAGGCACATGCTGAATCCCAACACTAAGGAAAGGAAGATCGGGAGTCTGAGGTCAGCTTAGCTACCCAGTGAGTCTGTACCCAGCCTGGTTCACATGAGACCCTGTCTCAAAAAAATGAAACAGGAGTTGACTTTGCAGTTACGAAATCAATGAGCAACACAGATGTCTGATCAATTTTAAAATATGACAACTCTGCTTTCTTTTCTTTTTCATTTGTTTGGTTTTTCAAGACAGCGTTTCTCTGTGTAGCCCTGGCTGTCTTGCACTTGCTGGCCTCGAACTCTCAGAGATCTGCCTCCCTGCCAAGCCCAACTCTTTGTTTTTGATGTCTCACTATGTTTCTGAGACTGGTCTGGAACTTACCATGTAGCCCAAGCTACCCCAAAGCTCACTATTATTTTTGTTGTTGTTTAAAAAGTGCTAAACAACAGGTGACATTAAGGTTAGCCATAAATTAACCCAACATTCCCAACCCATTCACATTTAAACCTGTCTTCGATCTCAATAGAGGAGCTATCTAATCTCTTTTTCTCCTCACTGTGTCTTCACCTTCTGGAGTGTCCTTGACATATCTTGTCAGAACCCGGATATTTTAAACGTTCCACAGCCATGTGGGGCCGGAGCTACCGTTTTGGGTGAGGATGCATGAGGAACTGGGATGTTACTCAAAGGCACCCGTCTGGAAAGGCCAGGTCACTGACCATCATTAGCTCCCCAGGGCACCCCCACAGCGGGCTCCCACAGGACCCGGCCAGCTCTCGGCTTAGAGCGCCCCCAGCCCTCCGGCAGGGGCGGGGTTCCAGGGCCGGGTCCCGCCTCCCTCCCGCTTGGCCGCCTCCTCCGCCACCACCGCGCTGCCACCGGGAGCGGGGCCGGGAGCCGGGCCGGGCCGCCATCATGCTGAGCCGGCTCGGGGCACTGCTGCAGGAGGCCGTGGGGGCGGTGAGGCTGGGCCGCGGTCGGACCGGAGGGGCGGGCGCGAGCTGGGGCTGTGGGGGAGGGCGGGTGCGGGCCCCTTGGGCAGGGCCCCTCCCCCGGCCCCGACGCTTCCGGGCCTCTGTCGCCGGGTCGTGTCCCTCAGTCGCGGGCCCATCTCCCGCATTCTCTCCAGACCCACCGGCTCCCGCCAACCTGCGCTCCGTTCTGCTGATCCTACGCCCGACTCTCGTGATCCTGAGCCTCTGCTCCCTTGATTCTGAGCCCGGATCCCTCGATCCTGCCTCCGCACCGCTTCCTGTTACGCTCCCTGTGCCCCACTTCCCTGATCGTGCGCTCCGCGGTGCTTCTTGCTAGGTTCCCTGCGCCCCGAGAGCTTCTGCTAGCTTTCTAACTCTTCTCTCCCCAAACGCTCCCTGGTCGCCGGCCCTCTCCCCCGGATCTGCCCCATGCCGCCCCCTCTGCCCCTGCCAGCCTTCCTTCCTCGTTCCTGTCGCTCCTCCGTTCCTTCTCACCTGGAATTGTAAACACCGTTCCCCTTCCCCTCTTGGCCTCTGGAGAACTCCCGGGACCAGGATTTCTCGCACCGAGTTCTCTCTTTCTTAGCATGGGACTTGAGGCCCTGAGCGATTACGACCCCAGGAAGGTGATAGAGAGTATTGTTGGGGTGGGTGGTCGAGGGAACCCGGAAGCAGCCCCCTACAGGCCGCGTATCTCAGGCCACTGAGCCGAACTGACCTTGAGGTAGCGAGGTCAGCCTGCCTGAGGGGCTTGCATGGAAGAGTGTTTTGTTTTGTTTTGTTTTTACAACTGTCAGTTTGGGTTTGGGCCGTCTTTCTGGGAGTGCATGTGCCTGGAAGCCCACTGTAAGTGAATCACTCTTCATTCAGCAGCCTTGCAAGAAGCTATCAGGAAAGTTATTTTTTTTCCCTCTCATTGTATAAAAACACCCTCTAATTGATGTGTTTAGTCTATCAAATTGTCTCTGGAGAAACAATCTGGAGTTTGCCACCCCTTTTGTTTCCTCCATCCCTTCCCCAGACAGAGCATGTCTTACTATTTTTGTTTGTTGTTGTTTTGTTTGTTTGTCAACATAGGGTTTTTCTGTGTAGCCCAGGCTGTCCTCGAACTCGCTCTGTAGACCAGGCCGGCCTCAAACTCAGAGATCTGCCTGCCTCTGCCGCCTGAATGCTGGGATTAAAGGTGTGCGCAGCACCACACATCTAGCGATTACTATTAGAAACTGGCTCGGCCTTAGGGAAGCTGATAGAGGGAGACATTTCTGTAACCTCCCCTCCCCCATCACTATCCTCCTTTGCTTTGAGAAACAGAGTCTAGGATACCCCAAGACAGAGAATTTCAAAATGGCCTTTTCTTCTCCTTCCAGTCCCAAATAAAAACAACTGTCATTTTAGAAAGTGATTTGATAAACTAATGCATCCTTCTGGACACAGCTCGATTTACAAGAGGACTGGAAGGGTGGACAGAGTGGAGGGACATGTTTTTAGGCAGGTGACCTTCCGGTCACACCAGGAGGTGTGATTTAGGCCGCACAGGAATTCCACTTTTCAGCTCCGCCTACTTCCTGGGGTTAGGTCTTCCCTCAGGTTGGTTGGACCACCAAACAGAAGATGACCCACTCAGTACTTCTTTCTGCCCCTGGTAGGAAACCTTGTGGCTCATTCTAAAAGTAATGCTGTCTTCTAGCAGAAATTGCTTGATAGTTTCTGGTATCTAATAGTAGATTCAGGGGTAGAGACTTCTGCCCTGCTTTCTTCTGTCCACTGGGTTTTGATGACTACCCTGGCTTCCCTGGGTCTCTTTTTTTTATATGAATAGTTCTTTTCATGAAATTTGGCACAAGGTTTTTTGGAACTTACAGATGAAATCTGAGGATAGGATGAGACCCTATCACAGAAACTGAGGT